ACTTGGGGTCTGAATCATGTCTCAATCGTAGCACGTTTTTAAGTTCATCGTATACGTTTTATGTACTTCAACAGCGTCATTGAGATTTTTGCCTTAATCTACGTGGCGTGGCAGTAGATTCTTCCACGTTTTTAACTTAAAACGAACCACGTTTTACTTGAAACAGGCCACGTTGGAGTCAGACACAGGTTGATGAGGGCGAAATGAAATGACGTTGCGGGTGTGTTCACACTTCATTGTCCAGTTTTCCCATCGAACAAATGCTGGCAGAATGTGTGGTGCTCCACTAGCAAGGCTATGACTCTCAGCAGCTATCGATGGTCCCATCGTGATCGTCCACTTGGCCACGCCGCCACGAGGGGGTAGCCATGATGTTCGTGACACCTTCGGGAAACATCCATGAGTGGGCAAATGCCATTGGTTAAAATTTAGCCAATTAAATGCGACTTCTATATGTGACTCCCGTTGCCACACTCTGAGAGGATGTTGCGGCGATGTGTGGCGCCGATGTTGGCGGCGAAATCCGCGACAACAACGGTACCGGCAGTCTTGCAAGTCGTTGGAACTCCCCGAGTCACAGTCAAGGCCAACTTGGTGCGCCCACGCCCGTTGTCGTTTCGCTTGAACAGCACCAGCTCGACCCCTCCACCGATCACCACAGCGGGCGGCCCTCTCCAAAAGTTCAAGGACCTGTGGAACAAGTACGGTTGGGTTGGTGTTGGAACGTATCTCGGCGTATACGTGGTGACGTTGGGATCGATGTTTGTTGCGATCGAAACAGGAGTGCTGTCAACGGCCGCACCGTCCAAGGCCACCGACAGTGAAGACAAAAACGAGGCGTTCAATATTGTGACGGCCACAAACAAGCTGACGGAGTGGACTAAGTCAATCGGTCTTGGCGCCCACTTTAACGTCCCCGACGTGAGTCCAACCACGGGAACATTCCTCATTGCATGGGTCGCCACCAAGTTCACGGAGCCAGTCCGGCTGGCTGTGACCCTCATGATCACTCCTCGACTCGCCCGCTTCCTCAAGACGCGCAAGGCGTAGTGTACGTTGTAGCTCCTGCCAGCTTTTAACAGGTGATCTGAACAGTCCCAGCACGAGGGATTGGTCGAAGCATGAGATCGTGTTAGCAGTGCGTTGTTCGATATTAGTGGCAATTAGGCTGGATGCTGAATCAAGAGCGACGCGTCCGAAGATGAAGCAGATGATGGAGTGTTGTTGGACTGGTGCCTCTCGAGTTCCTTCTTTACGCGACGGTATTCGATCAATTGCTTTTTGGAAATGCGATGGCCAAGGACGAGCATGAAGAAGCTTACCGCAACGGAAGCAGTCTGAAGCACCAGTGACGTGGCTACATACGATTGAAGGTCGGGGCACGAGAGACCGGCCGTATTTGCTTGGAGGGCCGCAGACATGCGGCAGTTGTCTTGGAACGACGATGTCGACAGAAACGGCAGCAAGAAGTGCCGGATCGAAAAGACAGACACGACCACGATCGACGCATGCAAACTCGTGTAGAGCCACGACAACGTGCAAATAGGGAGGCGGCCGCAGATGCACCGACCTTTCCAGGTGGACGACGCACTGAACGCGATGCTCGAGGCCACCGCTGCGATGAAGATGAGGATTGCCAACGTTGACGTGGGTTGAGGCGTGATAAGGAAAGCTGGGCTGAACGTCACTGCATGCATCGGCAGCACAAAGAGGAGCTTGCACTCGTCACGGAACATCGTAGCGGCGGCAATGGGCAGGCGCTGATTCTTGCGTTCGAAATTGCCGTTACTGCGGGGAACGATAATTACTGTAAGAAAGGACGAACAATAAAAACACCACAAGACTCTGCATTATATCAGTGTGCCTGTGGCATGGACGAGGTCAACCGGGCGGCCAGCTGAGCGTGCGGCCGCCGAGGATGTGCAAATGGAGATGGTATACGGATTGGAGTCCGCGTGGCCCGTCGTTGATGACGATGCGGTAGCCTTCGTCGAGCTGTTCGTTCTTGGCAACGACGGAAGCCGAGTAGAGCAATTCGCCAAGGATTTCCTTGTGGCGCTCCTCCGCGTTGGCAATACGCGTGAGGCCGTCGCGAACTTTCGGAATTACAATTACATGCACGGGAGCTTGCGGCGCAATGTCGCGAAAGGCCAGAACTTTGTCGTTCTCAAACACGACAGATGCAGGGATTTCGCGGCGGATGATCTTGTCAAAAATCGTGGGCTCGTAGCCCTTGGGCTCGACAGCGGCATTGGCTCGTTCTGCTTCTGTCGCCATAGTTCGCTGGGGCACGGGCCGACCAAACCGAGGATGACAAAGCTGCACTCGAAGTCGGTTCATCCGTGAAGGATGTGCGCCCCTCGCTCGAGTGTGATGCCGAAGGATCTTAACGCGTGTTGATTGGCTATAACTTTTCAGGGGTAGGTGAATAATGTTGTTTGATTGGCTAATTACACGAGATGCTGAAAATCAACCAATCCGATAGTAGAATAAACACTTCGTTGACCAATCAAAATGCTCATGATCGAAAGATCAACACTTGGGGTCTGAATCATGTCTCAATCGTAGCACGTTTTTAAGTTCATCGTATACGTTTTATGTACTTCAACAGCGTCATTGAGATTTTTGCCTTGGTCTACGTGGCGTGGCAGTAGATTCTTCCACGTTTTTAACTTAAAACGAACCACGTTTTACTTGAAACAGGAAAGATCGCTTCTTCCCTCGCTCCTTCTCGACCATACTTCACTTGGAATCATTTGCGAATTCCCCATCCTACATGAAGACGTTCGTCGTTGCCGCCGTTGTTGCCGCTGTCCAAGCGTTCCAAAGCGACGAAACGGCCAACTTGAAGGACGTTGCCGCGTTCGTGCAGTATATGGCAGACTATGACAAGGACTACCGACATCACGGCGATGACCACCCGTTGGTCATGAAGCGGTTCAAGGCGTTCCAAACGAACCTGCGCCGTATCGAAGAACACAACCGAGGCTACGACTCGGGCGAGCACACGTTTGCCTTGGGGTTGAACCGTACGTCCGAACACTGAATGCTCCAACTGCATGGCAAATTTCGACTCTATGTGCGCATAGACTTGGCCGACTTGACCGACGACGAATACAAGCGCATGCTTGGCTTCAAACGATCGGGAGCCCCCAGTCGTGCGACGTCTACGTACGTGAACCAAAATGACGGCGTTCCCGACTCGTGGGACTGGCGCAAGCACAACGCCGTGACTCCTGTGAAAAACCAAGGACAATGCGGTTCGTGCTGGGCATTTTCGGCCGTGGCGTCGTTAGAGAGTGCGTATGCTTTGTCGACGGGAACTCTCGAATCGTTTTCGGAACAAGAACTTGTGGACTGTGTCGACGGCGGTGCCGACGATTGCAACCACGGCGGGGAAATGTCGCATGGATTCGTTGAGATCATTCAAAATCATGGCGGGAAAATTGACAAGGAAGCCGACTATCCCTACACAGCGCAATCCAAGGGCAAGTGCTTGGCCAAGGACGACAAAGCGATCGGCCACTTCACCTCGTACGTGAACGTGACGTCGGGCGACGAAAATGCGCTCAAAGCAGCGGTTGCCAACCACGCCGTGGTGTCGGTCGCAATCGATGCCTCGAGCTTTTTGTTCCAGCTGTACCGCCACGGTGTGTTTTCGTGGTCGCTGTGCAAGAATGGATACGACGAGCTCGACCATGGTGTTTCGGCTGTGGGGTACGGCAACTACAAGGGCAAGGACTTCTGGCTGATCAAAAACTCGTGGGGCACGGGGTGGGGCCTCGATGGTTACATTCTGATGTCTCGCAACAAGAACAATCAGTGTGGTATTGCGACCGACGCGTCCTTTGTGGTCATGCCCAAGGCAACCAAAGTGGCCGACGCCTCCAAGGTCCAAGATGCCTCTACTTTCGACATTGAGCAAGACTTGTACTGGTCCACATAATTCCATCGTCATTCTCCCTAGTTTTTGGGCTGCACTTGTTTGTGTGGGTGCACGAGATAAATACGTGGGGTTTTGGTTCTTCTCGGCAGCCAACGAAACACTATTTCCAGAAGTGGTGCAACGTCGTGGGTTGAGCTGCAGCGGCGGAAGGTCGACTCGTTGTCGCGGCGGCCGCCGGTGATATCGTCACCGATGCAGGGGGAGCATGCGCAACGACGAGCCCATGGATGGTTGACGATGGCATTGGCGACTCGGGATACACTTCTGCGCGACCGACGTGACAGCCCCTGCCGCATGACGACGTTGTGTTCTGTAGCATGGAGGTCTCGTCCATGTCATGGCCCATGTGCCACACGCGGACAGTGCCATCGTCGGAGCAGCTAGCGATCTTGGAAAAGTCCGCTTTGCACCAAACGACGCTGCTAACTTCGCCCTCGTGGCCACGGAGGACGACGGCAGGGGCGCCGGCGGACTGGGCATCCCAAATGTACACGTTGTGGTCGACGGACCCACTCACGACGAAGTTGCTGTCCGGGCTGAAGCCTGACTTGACTGGGGACAACATCACGGTAGTTGAGACGACCGGAAAGTGAGCGCTGTTTGAGCGTACCATAAAAGGACGAGTTTTTGTGGCCATAATATTTGGCAACCGGGTCGTTCGTTGCTCGCACGAGGTCGTAAAGAAAGATGTCGTTGCTGGCGGCACTCACGAGCAACTTGGTCTTGGTGTGGTCCAACGTGAGCGACGAGATACCGTACCGCCTGCCGTTTGGATTCAAACAGCTGAACGATCGCACGAGCTTAAATGCGTCCTTTTCCATGGCGCGCAAGTCCCAAAATTTGACCATGCTACGAAGGTACACACACCGAGTTAGCAATGTCTCGAGCAACGCATGACAAACACTGTACCCATCCACAGCGCCGGACGAAATGAGCTGGTTGCCGTCGCCAGTAAACTCGACGCACGTGACGCTGCGTTGGGCATTCGGGATCGACATCCGCCGCTTCTTGCGTCTGTCCGTCGCAGACGAGTCAAAGTCATGACATCGAATGCAGCTATCCACGGGCCGGAACGTCGCCACCCCGTTTGGATCACTCGAGACTGGATAGGGATGCCGCGTATCCCAGAAGTACACGTTGCCGTCCCGCGACCCTGACGCAAATACATGCGGGCTGCCAGGCATCTGTCGGACGCATTTGACACTCATGGAGTGGCCTTCGAAGTGGCACAGCTTGGCAGACGTTTCGACGTCCCATACGCTGAGATGCTGGTCGCCAGATGCAGTCGCAATGTGTGCGTCGTCGCTGCACCAAATCAAGTCAAAGATGGCATTTTGATGTGCCGAGAACTTGGACATGGGTCGCTCTTTATGCAAACGCTGTGAGTCCTGCACGAACGATCGATTGTTCGTATCGTACCGTGGTTACAAGACTGGTGATGTTGTGGCAAATGGGGCTTTCTGTCGTGGGTGGTGAAGAGACTCACCCACCCTTCTTCGTCTGCCACTGCAAGCAGTGTGCCATGCATCCGCTTCTCGCTAAATGCGACATGGAAGGGAGGTATACGATGTTCATACGTTTCATCTTGGCTCATGTACACGTCCTGCCTGTCGCTGCGCAATGTCATCAGGAGCGGTCGCTTCACGTAGAGCTCGACTCGCCCGTTCGGGTTGATCGTTGTCGAAGAGTCCCATGACAAGTACGACAGCATATGAGCTCGCTCATAGCGTGGCGGTTGGGGGGCATAGCGGTGCTGAAGTTCTCGATGCCGCAAGTGGTGTACGATGGTCGAGGCGCGGCCGTCGCACCTTCGCTTCATCGTTGCGTCTTCGGCGCGGTAAGTCTCGTGACTGGCGCGTTGGAAAACTTTTTTATTATCATGCATGAAATATGTTCAATTGTACGACGCATTTTATTATAACTGTTACATTTTCCGGATACGGATACCGTTTGGCACACTATATCCGTAGAATAGACATCTCGTCAACGTGAAACGAATTCGACGTCGCCGGAGCAGCCGCGAACGGAAGATGCAACTCGCGTGATGTTGGATGCCTTGGTACGTAGAGATGCTACACGCAGATGTAGTCACCGTGGAAATGTTTTTCACCTTCTGCCGTACAGTAATCCCAGGTTCACCCACATGTGTCGTGGACGGCGCTGCCACCCTTGGCGTTGGCGTAGCCATAACGTGGACAGGGCGTGATGCCGCGATGGTTCGAATGCGCCGTTGCATTGGGTTATGAATATTTGAAACCCACCGGAGCTGTGTCTACCCAGCCATCCTCCGCGCCGGGGTGTATCGGGGGAATGAAGACGCCTTCTCAGTTCTATTGTCCACAGGTGGACCAGTTCACCCTGTATGCCTGTATGACGCGGGACATGGACGTGTTCATCACAATGATGTTCTTCAGCGGCTTTCTCTGGTCAGAGCTCGCTGTGACAAGTCGTGCTCGGGCTGTTGAGTACGCATTGCTTGTTCCATTCAGCAGAGCGACACTCGGCAGTCGCGCGACACGTTGTTCGCGGTGATGACGTTCACCGGCATGTCCATGACGTGCCACCATATTTTAGTTGCCCGTCGATCGTGTATCGACCAGGATCGAGAAATTCCGTCCAAAAATTACACCTCACGTGCCAGACCGACGACAAAGCAACCGCAGAGTTACACCGGATGCGTTCCTCACGATGTTTGAACATTCCCGTCTTCCACCTCATCGGCACCGTAACGGCACCTGGACGGGGTCACAACACCGCTTGAACCGACAACGCGTGGCCCCGTGTCTATCCCCTCGGCCACATCCCCATCGAATCGAGAATTTGCATTGCATGATATTCGAAACGTGGCGACGGAGATATTGGCTTCCCAAGGTGGCACGACAGCAGCAACTCGACTTGGCATGGCCGGACGAACCTTTGCGGTTGGGGGCCGCAGTCGTCGACGATCGCAGGCGATGCCACCCGAGAGAATTGAACATGAGAACCGCTGCGCGGTTCGGACGACATGACCCATGTGGAGCCACTCTACGCCAATTCCGGCCACTTCACCATCGTTCGTTCGTTGTGCCACACCTGTCCTCGCCCACCATATTTCATAAACCTCGTTGTGCTGTTCCTTGTTAAATGTATAGAAATGGTGGCACATGAGGGTACATCGCTACACGGATTTACGACGAGGCTTTATTGCCCACCCACACACGTTTATTGTGCGCATCCTAAATGTACTAAAATGTACTGGGTGACATTTAGGCACGTTCACACACAAGGGAATGAAATTAAGCTTCACATTTGTATGTGTATTCGACGACATCATTGTAAAATCAAGCCTCCAACCGAAAATCAGAAACTAATTTGAATCGCCCAACGCACACAATGCGACTATTCTGACGAGGCCTGTTCAGTGGTACCACGCGCAAAATTCACCGCCCAACCTCCGCCCTCCGCTTTGCTGCGGTCGGCGAAGGGTTTGAGATGACGAAGCGACTTCACTTGTGCCAGTACGTTGCTCTGGTGCTGTACGGAGGGTATTTGCTTCTTGATCCATTCGTTCGAATGGATGACATCATATATGAGCGACCATCTGCGCTTGGGGCGCATTCGGACTTCTTTCCACATGTCAAACGCGCTCACTTCGATATACTCTTACCCTGACCTCATGACGATGTGTGCACTTCGATCCTACACGCATCAGCTCACGTCCTGCTGTGATACCGGCAAGCTACAAGGCCTAACGGCGATGTTGGGTACGGAACAACCAAACGTATACTAACCAAGGTATCCTACCAAGTGGTAGTCTATTTTGAACGAACGTTTCATTATCGCCATCTGAGATGCGCGTCAGCCGGTTCTTTGCCGAGGGGATTGCGAAGACGGAATCGATAGTGTGAATCAACGGGTGATGCAACTCGAGGGGCACTTTCCATTATGCAGTATCAAGTCGAGACCGAGCTCGCGCCTGCTCTGCACGGCAGCATCCTGTTGTGCCGTGACGAGGCCACCGATTCACTTGTCGCGATCAAACGGGTCGTAGCCACCGCCGACGCATTTGCCGAAGCGCGGGTGCATCTTCGCCTGGCCCAGCATCGGCACGTCCTTCCCATGCGACGGAGTTTCCACATCGACGGTAATCTCCACATGGTCTTCGATTACTGCCCGAACGGTGACCTGTACACGGAACTGAAGCGCCACACACGGTTGCCCGTGTCGAGAGCACTCGATTACATGGCCCAAGTAGCTAGCGCCGTCCAACACATGCACATGCAAGGCGTGGCCCACCGTGACTTGACGCTTGAAAACGTCCTCTTGGATGCGAAATGGAGCTGCCGCGTCTGCGACTTTGGGCTTGCCGTCATGTTGCCAGTGGCATGCAACGATCGCGTGGGGAAGGTGCAATACATGGCCCCTGAAGTTTATGCGTGCGAATCGTACGATCCCTGCAAAGCGGACGTGTGGTCCGTCGGAATCATGCTATTCATGCTCATCACGGGTGTGCCTCCCGTGAACCTCCCGTGCGTCACGGACAAACGTTTTGCCATGCTGGAGGCCTACGGCGTCCATTCGCTCGTCAACTTGTGGCACATGGAGTCGCTCTTCTCCGAATCCGTCATGGAGCTGATTGAGACGATGCTGGAAGTGGACCCAACACAGCGGCTCTCCATGAAGGAAGCCGCGATCGCCCTTCGCGCCGAGCTCAAGTGCTTCAAGCATGCATCAACGACGACGACATTATGGGACGACTTGTGGCACCAACCGTTTGTTGCAAGTTCGCTAACTTAACACATATATTTATTTCCTTCTTGGTTCTGTCGAGGTTGCTGTCGCGGGGCTCCATCGACCCCAGACAGTGGCAGGCGGCGTTGAATAGGAAACGGAGCTACTTGTGAGCGCCTGGCGTAGCGCATGCCATACAATGTCTGGTGCCACGCATGAGCTGACTACCATGTGGATATGCCGTCCTGGATTGTGGTCTTTGAACCCGACGGTCATGTTCAGCTTTCCTAGGTACTTTCGCGGCCTGCCTATCGTTCGTGGAAACATGCGAGAAGTGTTCTTGGAGTCACTTGTCCCCAGGGACATCAAGCCCCAGGTATCGTCGTCGTGGCCTGCATGTCGTTGAGCAGCTTTTCACATCGATGGGGATCGTGACACTCGAGAATTTCGGCGTCGCTCGAGCGCTGGACGACATGGTTGCCTCGGCTCAAATACAGCCCGAAGCTCGGCTGTCCTCGTCTGTCCTGCCCATGTTGCTTGCATCTAGCTCAACGACCGCGACATGGCATGCTCCCTCGAATTATGCAAAGGTAGCGACGACAACACAAAATCGACGCACGGACCGTGGGGTGCTTCTTGTACGAATGGCTGGCCGTTGCGCCGGCGTTCCAAGCCAAATCGATGCTGCTCATCGTGACGAGTATTCTCCAAGCAGAACCTCGTGCGACGTGTGCTGTCCAAATTCCCCGACGTAAACCAATGCCTCGACTGGACTGCCGCCCACGCGAACGCGGTAGGATCGACCCCATGCCGCAGACGCCCTCTCCAACGCGATTGTGTGGTTGAACGCATTGCAGGCGACATTCCACAACAGCGACTTGTTCAGCCTCTTGACCACTCCCCGCCCCTCGTCGCAACCGCAACGGCCTTCGCAGGTTGGTGATTCCAGACCTTCGACGACATCAGGTGCAACGACGGCCTTGTCTACAGGGATCCATCAGAGGACGGAGAGCTGGAAAACCCAAAGCGACGGATCGGTCCCACCGCAATCAAAGCCGCCTCGTTGAACATAGTCGCAAAATCCACGACGCACGGATCCGTTGCGATCACGACAGGCACACCGGTCTTGAGGTCCCCCCCCACGAGGCGTTGACGGGCGTCGTCCATCATCTCAAGCACAGGGACTTTGCGCACGGGCAGTTGTGGCAGCCTCCGAGGTTCTCGACGCGATGAATGCATGGGGTTTCGCTCGAAGCTGAGCTTGGCGAGGCACTGGTAGGGCCGTCAATGCCGTCGAGGAAGCGGCAGCACACATTCGTTCGACTCATAACAAAGACGTGTTGTAGTTTACGAGAGAGAGAGCTACTACTTGAGCAGCAATGGTCGGGAGCGCAATTGCGGCGAGCGAAATTGCTCTTGGTACTCGGTCGTGTAATGGCGGGATGAGGCATACGGAGGGAAGCGTGGATGCAAGAAGATGGGGTTCTTCAAGTCTAGCATCAGAGAGACAAGGGGCGGATGCAAGCACTCACCTCCAGGCGTCGCGGATATCGTCGGCGGTGGCGAAGTATCACCGCACTTTCAGAGGCTTGTCGCTCACTGATCGAAAGGTTCGTCTGGTCAGGTTGGTCCGTAGGTGGCATCTAGCAAGCAGGACGGTTCGAGGAGACTGTACATTGGCCCAACTGATACACACCGACGTTGAAGGAAGAGCTTTCAAGAACACAAGCTTGCGAGGAGCACGCCGAAGGAAGGCATGGCTGGTTGTCTTGTTCATCGACGATTTCGCCGGATGTCTGCGAAGGCGACGCGGTCGAGTTCGCCGCAGTGGCTGCGTGTTCTGATCGGTACGGCGCGAGACGTCGGTGGGCGTAGACGAGGAATGCAGAGGTGGTTGGTGGCGTTTGGATGGATGGCCGTGGTGATGAGATACTCTTGGCTGCGTTTGGTGGGTTGCCGAGGTGGTCCGCAATCGAGTCTGTAAGTGTCTTTCCAAAGTCGATTTGACGTCGGGAACGGTCATGAAGGTCTCATCGGGCGCGGCGGCGAACTTGACGTGCTTCTCGACTCGCTTTTGTGGTGGGGCATCCGCGTCCTTGCTACTACGAAGGGCCGAACGAGTCTCGGGGACCGCAAGACGAATGTGCGGTCGCTGTTGAATAGTCGATTTGAGCTGGTCTTGCAACGCCTGAATGTTTTCTTTGCACAACAATCGCTTCTTCTCGGCGTCAGTCAACTCTAGAGACTTATCTTTGTGACCTTTCAGGAGCTGCAGCGTTCGTGCTGAGCTCTCCTGCAAGCGCTTCAAGTTGGCTTTGGCAACTTGCTTCAGCGACTGAGTTTGTTCCCTCAGATGATCAGCATGCTGAGATGACGTGTAGCCTACCTCGGTATCGCTGCCAACAGGCGATGCTTGCCGCACGTGGCTGTCGTTTTCATTCAACTGGTCCTGGACCAGGTGATGAGTCACCAAACGACACGAAGTCGTCGAAGCAGTGGTACCCAAGCGAAGAAAGTTGGAATGTGAATCTTTGGCGCTGTGTATAATCCACCGGCTCTTGGGGGCTTTGCCTCATCGATGCTCTTCGTTGCTTCCTAGCGCAGGTTGATTCCATTGAGTGTCTCCTTGGAGAAGCACGACGCCTTACGGCGGACGCTTCGGCAACGGTCGTTGGCATGGTGGACAATTCCAAGCATATCCAGACAACCGGATACAGTCCATTATCCGGCACTTCTTCGCCATGTTTTAAAATTCATGTCTCGAAATACAATATGTAGGTAAAGATTGGAAAAGAAAGCTTTTCGTCAATAAAATTGGCTGTAACGGCTTCGACTTCAATGGACCTAAATTGTGGAATTCGCTGAGCAGCATGAACATGCTTCGCCTTGCTTCCCGCCGCGCGACTTTGGTCACCCGATGCTTCAGCACGGCTCAACCAGCCACCGCCGCGGCATCAGCCACCCAGCAACAAGACCCGAGCCAACTCATCTTGTCGTGCGCGTTGAACCATGTGAAGACGCAGGGGTATGTCCATATATCTCGACGTCGTGCTGTCCCATGATTCTGATGGGTACAACGTAGATGGAGCATTGAATCCCTCGGTAGTGGGGCCCGCGATGCTGGTTACCCCTCCGTGGCGCATGGCATGTTTCCTCGTGGTCCCATCGAGCTGGTCGAGTACTTTATGGACGACCTCCAGCACACGGTTCAAGACAAGTTGGCTGCAGAAAGCACCGTTGTCGACATTCCGGTGACGGACCGCCTCAAGCGCGGCATTCGAGTTCGTTTGGAGCTCTTGGCGCCATACATCAGCGTGTGGCCGCAAGCGATGGCTCTTGGAGCCTTGCCGCAGAACGCCCCTACGACCATGAAGAAGCTGGCAGAAATGATTGACGACATTTGGGTCTTCGCGGGCGACCGCACCACAGACATGTCATGGTAAGGTTACGATCGTTCCCAGGACGGCCATTCATGCTGGTCGATCAGGTACACCAAGCGTGCGGTGCTCACGGGAGTGTACACTGCGACAGGTACCTCTCCCATTCCCCACGACGTATCGCTCACCTCATCGAGTTTGATCGATGGTTCCAGCGACTCATTTGATCGCGTAGAGTTGTTTATGCTGTCGGACCATTCGCCCAACCACGAAGAAACGTGGAAGTTCCTCGATCGCCGCATCGAAGAAGCCATTGCGTTAGGCGACATCCCCAACAACGTAGTCGCGGTGTCTGCTCTTCAGAGATAGCTCACGCTCGCTGTGATTAGGCCCAAGACGTTGCGGGTATGGTAAGCATCGGAATTCAATCGTTGTTGTCCACGGCGGCGGCGTTGGCTGGCCCCGTGACCCAGCAAGTGGTGCAGCAAGTGGGACAACACGTGCCCAACCCGATCTCGGCATTCCCATCCACGACGTTCCCATTCAAGAAGTCGCCGTTCACTTACGCGTCGTCAGTGCCGCCGCCCCCGACTGTCCCGACGCCGGCCCCTGCTACAGCCCCCTTGGATCCTGTGCTTGCTGCCACGCCACCCCCAACGGTCGGCCCCTTGGACTCTGCTCCGCCCGTTGCGAAATCCACAAGTTCCCCCTGATGCATTTGGATAAACTTCCCCTTTTTGCTGCTTTGGTTATGGTTCCCCTTAGTCGATCCAATGCATTTCCTCCGCAAGAACGTGGTCAATCTCTTCATCTTCATCGTCGTCATCGAGCAATTCAGCCAAGCTATCGTTGCGCTGCAGTTGTTTAGGATGGCGCACCGCTGGTTGTTCCAGTGTCCGTTGCCGTAGTGGTGCTGTCTGTGGGCGCAGGTCCCTACGTGATGGCTTTTTCGGAGGACATGGCGTCTCATGATGGAGCAGTGATGCGAACGGATCTGCAGTCTCCATGAGGGCATTTGCCTTGATTGTTGCTTCTTTGGCGGCAATGGCTGCACACACGCGGACCGACGGGGGTGGAGGAGTCTGCAGCCGTCTTTGTAACAATCCAATCGCTTGGAATTCTTGGCTACACTCGACATGACAAGGTGGCTGGGTGGCCCATTGCCTACCGCAAGGCTATTCGAAGCGACTGTCTTGATGACAACGGGCGCTCCCTCCACGGCACGATGTGGACCGCGCTGTCGTCTGCGGGCTCACGAAATGGCCGGGCAGTATGTGGCCGCGTCGGTGGCGGCCTTGGTTCGGTAGAGCTGGTCGCGTTTGGTTGCTGACACGTGGTGCTGGGCGGAGTCAAGCGGAGCCGGTTGAAGTCGACACCGCGCTTTCGACAAGGATGCTTGCCCTTCCACTGCATCGACTTGCGCCACGTGAGCCGTCGACGCTCGCGAGATGCCGCACATTCCGAGAACTGGACGAGTTTGTCCAAGCGGTGAGAAGCACCTGGGCGACCCTGAACGTGTACCTCTCGGTCTTTCACTTGCTGCGTGTGGCATGTTGCTTCGAGCATTGTGACAACAATAGTGTGTGTGGCTCCGCACGACACTGACACTGGTGCCGTGCCTGACAGAGGGGTCACGACGAGTGGCAGGCTCGAGCTGCGGTCGTCTCCGAATCCCAGCTAGTTACCCAGGGTCGTCAGAGTGTCCATTGTATTGCAACCACATACCTGGCCTTCTTCGCCAAATCCCCATGCGTACACGCACGCGTCGTCAACGAGAGCCACAGAATGCCATTCTCCCAACGCACTGCATCCAACACATCAGCGTAACGTGGTGGTCCTGCATGCTTTACATGGCTCGTACGTATTTGCCATGAAAGAGTCGCAGGCGATGGGGCACGAGGCGGTCGCTGTAGAGGCCGTCGCCGACTTGACCGTGTGCATTCCCACCCCACATGAGGAGGTCCCCGGACTAAGTTGTCCCCAGCGACAACATTTAGAAACGTAGTCGGTGGTGCTTGGCTCGAACCTCGGTGATTAGCGCCGAGTGTGTGCCTCCCGCCGCGACTTGCTTTACCCGCGTTCCGTTGAAGGTCTAACCATCATGTACTGAAGCAAGCGCTGCAATTTAGGCATGCATGCACCCACTTCCAGGGACACGGGGGTTGTCCTCGACTCGATGTCGCCAACACCAAGTCGACCATGACCGCCACACCCCCACACCATCACGGCCAGCGGCACACTCGTGTGCGCAATGGCGTGATACATTCCCGACGCCAAGTGCTGGACATGGCTCAGGTGCGGCACCTGCGTAAACGCCGCGCGGGGCTGCGAATCGCCAAACCCGAGTTGACCAGCTACAATCGATGCATCGTGACGTGCTGTCAGCAGTGACAGAGAGCTACCAATGTTGGACCCCGTGGCAAACACATCGCCCTCCACGTCCACGGCAAACGAATGGTTCCCAGCACACACGATGGTGCGTGTGGGAGGGAGGTTGTGTACTCGAGCAGGGGTGCGGTGGTGTTTGGCCTTCAAGCTCAGCCCGAGCTACGGCATCGACAGCTACGTCAGGGGGAGCATGACCCAAGCACCGCAACGTACCTGCCCCGACGAGTTGTCTCCCCACGCGTATACCCACGTACTGCTCACGATGCACAACGTGTGGTTTGCTCCACAAGCTACGTGGGTCACCTGGCGAGTGGTATGGTTGAGTTCACGTGCGGAACCGACATGAAAGTGGTTCGAACTCGTGACCTCGTACCATCATGTTCATGAGCTTGGGCACGACGGACGGGGTTTTGACATGATCCAAGTGCGGCTGGCCGAGTTGCCCTTCACTGCCCCGTCCTGTAAACACCGACGAGGGACGACATCGAGTCAGTTGCACTAACCATCGTGGCCTACCAAAGCAATACAAATGCGAGTTTGCGTCGATGATGGCGGTGTGGGCTAGGCCGCAGGCCACTTGAGCTGGCACGAGCCACTTGGAATCGAGGGGGGTCGGCGTGTTAGCGCTAGCATCGCGCTTGTCGAAGCGATGGGTCACACCAAGCCGCCCGTATAACCCCGACCCAAAGCTAAACACAAATAGAGCTTGCTTGGGCATGATTTGCACGGACACAGGCGTGATAGTGGCTTGCTGGTCGGGTGCCCATGTTAGTTTTGGGACGTGGCGGATCTCGAATCGAATGAGGTCGGACGCGTCGGTCGCCCGTACTGAAATGGACTGGGGCTGACGGAAGTTGTAGCGGGTGAATAGCACCTACCAAGCGTGGTGAGATTCAAAGGGGACGATGGCCGAGTGGACAGCGGACCTACCTCGGTAGGGTAGACGGAGATGCCGTTCAAAGAGTCTGGCAGCACAATCGACACGGCCATCTCTTGATTCTACACAGTCCGCTGAGTCTGGACCAAATCACCATCGCGTACACTCATCAAGCACGTGGCCATTTTCAAGTTGTACGTGATATCTCCGCCTCGTCGTAGCCGCAAATTCCGCACAGACACCTTGACCGTAGGCAGTGGTGCTGGTACAGTCGAGTCTCGAGTGGCCGACGTAGACGTCGAACTTCGCGGTGGAGCAATCGTCTTCGCCGTAGGCTGGCGCCGAGGGTTTATGGAGCGCCTCACCATCGTCGGGTGTTGCGCTGGGTGGGCGAGATGGACATGAAACCACCGTGTAACCGAGCGGGTCGTTCACTCGATCGTCGTGGCTGTAATCACAGCAGTCCTGTTTGAGTTTGCACCCTGCCAGCGTCGACAGGGGGGCAATGCACCCCGAAAAGCAGTCGTTTGGTTGTCCATCTGTGTGAGCGCCTCCATCTACCATGATCGAGCTCTCTGCCTGGGCGTGATGCGCTTCGAGAAGTGTCGAAGGCTGGAGGCCAAACCGAATGAACTTCTCGATCTTGCTAAGACGGAACGACAAGGGTGGCACCGAGGGACTTGAGGAAGCTTCGCTTGTCGGCCACCCAGTCGGCGGCTCTTCGCGTGCCGATCCAACGAAATTCGTTGGATCGGCATAGTGATTCGTTGAACGAATCACTCTAATCATGGTCATGTTGTCGACGTCGATGGAGCTGCAATTTCTGGCGCTCCTGGAGTCTGTCTAAGCGAGCATGTGAATATGTCTTCGTGGCAAACGCACGCTGCACAAGTCACTGTCGACGCCATTCGATGCTGGTCGATCAACCACCACAACAGCGACGAATCGGGTTTCTGAGAGGTCCAAGTCGCGAGCGGAGTTGAACCGTCGGACCCTTTGGCGTGGATTGCCATGCCCATCAACGAGTGCGGGTCCAATGGGTCCGCCGACGCCCCCGACGACTGGTGCCATTTGTCCCTTGTTACAAAAACCCAAGTGCGAGCTGCGACAACGTCGTGACCCTGCGGTCGCGAATGGACAAGTCGGTCGTCACTCGAGAACATCGTTGCCTGGCAACGTTGCCACACGCTCAAGGCCGTCGGAAGGGCTATTGTTCAACCGACCAAATCGACGGTCGTGAGAAAGATCGCGTTCTTGGCGCCTCTTGTTGCCCCAGTTGCGACCAAAGCGCGACTAACCCGACGCAGTTTGCTGTCGTTGTGAAAGGCGCCGACTCGTCCTCCCCGGGCATCGAGTTTCTGTGCGAGCCTCTGCTTGGCGACTGCTTCTCGCTCAAGTCTGACATCAACCCGAATGTGGCGCAGCAGTTGCTGCCACCCAACTTCTCCACCGACAACACCGACATCCTCGCCATCAACGGAACAGGTCCCTTCGACCCAACGATGCTAAATATCGCGACGGTTCTGCAATAGTCTCCGTGCACCTTGGTGGACGAGACTGTCATCGGGCTCCAAGGCGACACGGAGAGCCACATCGGTCGCTGCACTAGATGACTCCATCTACTTCGAGGGACGTGCACGGCACTGCGAACGTCTCGCGGATGGCCGACGCGTACCAGCATCGATGCAACAACTTCGACCCCGCGCGATTCAGTGGACGTGTGAGCCGGCGGGGATGGGCAACAAGATCGCACCGATGGCCGACTTGAGCACCTACTTGTCGCGGTGCAACGGATGTGCGCCCGTCGTGCTGTCGCTGAGCAGGCGCCCCGACTGCGTGTGCATGCATGTCATTGATTGACGCGAGACCAATGCCGCCAGGTGTGCCGTCAAGTTATTTTGGCGCCGGCGCAGCAGGTGATGGCTGTGGCATCCCATCGTGGACAGCCCGGCCTCGACAGCTTCTATCCACTCCAGGACAACGGAGATCGTACCCTTCTCGTGGCGGAGGGACTCTCTGTCGTGGGTTGTGCCGTGTTGGGAGCAGTCGCGTATCAAAACCCGGGCCGCCTGTCGTCGTGGGATTGCTCGAGAGGGCAAAAGCACCCTGAACCATGCCTTGTCCTGTCGTAAACTGTCGCTGGATTCGAGTGAACGAATATTGTGTTGCAGTGGCTGCTTTGCACCGGTGTGGAGCCGATGGTTCCTGGAATGGGGCGAGTGCTCCTGTCTCTGTCGACGCACCACAGCGTGCGTCATGCTCCACGTTGTAGCGCCAGAGTACGAGCACTGTTGACGCTCCAGTGACTGCTGCCGTGAGAACGAACTTGGGATTGATCAGCGACGTATTTCATTCGCACTAAACTCTCCGCGTTTTCTTCCATAAGCTACTGGAGAGACAGCGACTTGGGAACGATCTTGATGCCGCCAAACACCGCTCGAACGACGACGCCAACAAAGTAACCTACGGTCAGCATGAGCTCGATCCCGTTGTCTCTATCAGCGATACATGCAAGAAGGATGGGCCAGAAGCACAGACACATTCCCCCGACGAGCCAGAGGTGGCCCACGGCTCGCCACGACGCCTACAAGTTGAACGGACGGTGGGCAAGATTATCCCCACACATCTGCTGTACGTTTCCTACCTGAGGGCGTAGCACCTGCGTCTGGTCTTTCTGTGATGCGAAGCACTACACACCACGCAAAGGTCGAGGGTACATCTCAAAATTGTGTTGGGGGTGGTGTTGCCAAAGTGTACCTGGTGCTCAATAAACTCGTTGAGCAAGGCCTCCTTGGCGACCCACAACTGATCGAGACACCCCTCGACATTCTCTCCGACGTCCGCCATCGGGATGCGGCGGCAGTGCAAGTGAACTTTCGACGGGCCTTGGCCCATCACGATTTTCTTCATCGAAGGCAACTGCACGTCCACGTGTCGATCATACCCCATGGCGAACGTCGGCACTTCCCCCGAGTACGACGGAAACGCCATCGTAATGTCCAATATGTCTGGCTTGACGGGGCTGTCCTTGAATGCCTCCAGCATGAGCCTGAGCCCCGTTGAGCGCGGCAGGAGTACACGATGAAGCATCGGTCGATTCTGTTTCTGGCCAAACTCGTGTGACTTGGCCATGGACTCTATGAAGATGGTCGTGCCTTCTGGGAACAGCAGCAGCCAGAATGGAAAGTTATCTTGCACGAAATTTTGCATGTATGCTTGAATCGCGACCCGGTCGACTTTGATATCTCGACGCAAGAATAGGAAATCCAACATCGCCATGCCCGTTCCAAGAATTGGCAACGACCGCAATGTGTGCTTCATGGCGATTTTGAGGTTGCCCGCGCCGCCATGAACGCGCATTACTAGCCACACATTCAGCGTTGATCACTCGAGAAAAGCGTGTGCAGCTTCCGTACGTTCGGAAATGTACCACCAGTCTGCATCGACTTGGTGGTTGGCGATGATAAACATGGGCTTAGATGTGTCGGTCGGCAAGTCTCCTCTACGAAACCCCATCATTGACCACGCCCTGAGCACTCGTCATTGCCACGTACGACACGATGAGATCACAAGGACGAAAGCAATACGCCATAATCTCGACGTACGTGGCAAAGCACCTCCTGCAAAAAGGGGCACAAGTAAGTTGGAGCGTGACCGTTCGTTCGTTGCAAATACACACCCGATTGCCCGCCGGAAATGGGCACGACTGAATGGACGAATCGTGCATGTGGCAGCTTCATACACGAGCACAACGGGCATGTGCAGGACCAGGCATAGGACCGTGATTGCGCCGCGCGCGACTCCGATCGCTGTGGCTGCTGTTGTCGACAGAGGCATTGCAAAACTGACCGTTTCACGAACGGGCCCGCTTCGTGGAAATTCCACCAATGAAAGCGCTCCAAGTTTTGAATTGGCCAATTGAATCGCGCGTCGACAGTGGAGTGTCACGACGGAATTCCACGTCATGGTGGTTACATGTCGTGGCCTGGATGGATCGACGGCGGCAATGCGCCGCCATCAATTGCACATCACAGCCGCTCTTCTCATGGAGCGCTATCGGTTGTATGTATGCATGAGGGCCATTCAAAGGATGTTGACTTGAAACATGCCCAGGCAAGCGGCCAGGCGAAAGACGAGGAGGCTGTCTCCGTTCGATATGCCGCTCGACGACCATGTAAACATCGCAGCAAACAACGCTGTCCATGCAACATGGTTGAAGGGTCGGGTATTCTCGAATGCTCCATCGCATGCCATGCTCGAGTGAAAACACTCTACATCGTCCATTGCACAAGCAAACCGTTCGATGTGCATACCAGTAATACGAAGGATCGCAGCTCCAGCAGCCAAATATTGGCCAAGAGAAGCAGTTTGCATTGCCCTCCGCAGCATCCTCTCTACGATCTGCATTGGCGCCGTTTAGATGCTTCGACGGAGCGAGATGGTTGCGCCCTCGTCGTGGATGTCGCCGAGTGTCGAGGCGCCTTTTTGGTCACCTGGCAATAAAATATCTCTGCGAATTTATTTGAAGAGTTTAACTCATATTCTGTTCAACTAAGCGGTCCTTGAAATTTAAAAAATGTCGCTTTTGATTGGTCGAATTGCCGGTCGCACCAGCATGAGCTGTCGTCGATCGACACACAACCCAACGAGACCACGACCAGGATGCGGCTGGCGCGGACGTTCGTCGCCATCACCGCTGCGCTCATGTCGCTTGGACGTGCAGAAGACATCCAGTCGGATGTCTCAGAAGAGATGAAGAGCACGGGGTCCGCAGGGCTTGCAGAGTCGTACAATCGAACGATTCACATGGGCAAATCCGCACGGTTCAAATTGGCGTACCCGAACGCTAGGTTCATCTACGTCCGGTTTTCCAAGCTGGACCTGCCTCCAGGAGACACATTGACACTGTCCACGAACGAAACGACTGTCGTGTACAAAGGCTATGCCCGTCGCCGCCGTCGACGAGCCAAAGATTCGACTGGAGAGGACTTCTTTTACTCGGACAGACTCATGGGCGACTCGGTCAACATCTCGTACACTCCCCATGGCAAAAACAAAAAGTCGGTAAAGCAGACTCCGCCTTCGTTTGGCGTCACGATCGGGTCGTATATTCGTGGCGTCGCCCGCATCAGATCGACCGACGGCAAGTCCCTCGTGAATCCGGCCTGCGTGTCGGCCACCCCCGCGTGGCAGCCAGCCGTTTGTTTCAAGGAATCGGACCCCCTCGTGTATGAGAGCTCACGCAGTCTGGCACGCATGGTGACCCTCGGAAGCGCTTCCGTCGCGCAATACGCCACGGGGTTCCTCGCGGGCTGCCACGGGTACTTCTTCACGAACGAACACAACGTGCGCACGAAAACTCAAGTGGACGCGACGGATTTTGGTTTTCTGGCCGCTAGTACCGAGTGCGACGACAAATGCAACAAGCGGGCGCTGGGTTGCCCCCACAAACTGCTGTTGCGCGGGTCAGCGACTCTCGTGGCGGTCGACACCAAGCTCGACTACGCCTTGCTGCGTTTTGATAAACACGCGCGCAAGCAGCTCAAGCGACTAAACGTGCCGCATCTATCTCTTCGATCGACTCTGGTGGGCGACAACCGCAGCAGCCTCGCGGGGGAATCGATCTACGTGCCGCAGCATCCCGACGGGACAGCAGCAAAGATCGCCACGCGGCTGCAAAATGGGACGGACGCGGTCATAGTCGACGCCAACCTGGCTAACAAATGCGGGACACGCCAGCTCGGATATATGGTCGATACGATCGGAGGGTCGTCTGGGGCCCCCGTGATTGCCACAAAGGACCACAAAGTGATTGGGCTGCACCATTGTGGCGACTGCAATGCTGGCAGCGAAGGCACGGCGCTGCGGTCAGCCATTTTCATGCACGACATCTTGACCGATCTGAAGAGGAAGAAGGTTGCGTTGCCCCGTTGTTTCACCGATTCATAGCACGGTGGTACCGTGCTTCATAACCGATCAAACCGCGTTGGTCTTTTGCATCGTGTTGATAGACCTGTACGCACATAAAGCAGTCGCGTGTAGATAAAAGTTGCATCCCTCTTCCAATCGCGACAGGTCCGGGCACGCTGAGGAAGAGTGGTGGCGACGATGAAGATCGCGTTAGAGTCCATGAAAAGCAATTGCAACTTCTCTGTGGGGCGCACAGCAGCAGGGTCGAGCTTATGTGGTCTAGTGCAGACCGAGGAATCCAAGAGGCACGACGACGGGGCTGGCGACCTTGGCCACGACAGTCAAGTCTCTCGCGTCCAGCACGACCAGAAAGCTTTGCTTGGCATGGCCATCCAAGACGACCGTCAACAACACGCCGTCGTCTTCGTTCTGCGCGGACGGATGCGGTACACAAAAATGGGTTTCACTGGGAACGTCCCCCGCCTCCCATCGCAGCTCGTTTCCCGTCTTCAAATTCAATGTGACGACGCCGTCGAAAAACACCGCGCTGTCGGCCATTGCATACACGAAATGGTACTTGCCGTAGTGGCGACAACGTTCGTTGATACTGGGCAATTCGAGCGTCGGCGATTCCCACACTTGGGGTACGTTTGGGAACGTCGGCGGCGTCGAGACCAAGGAGTGGGCCGACACATTTCGCAGTCGGAAGCGGGCGAGGCGGGCGTCCGACTCGTCAAACACCGACCTTTGCACGATCGACGGCACGTTCAATCGGTCGAGAATGGCCATGTCGTTGTTCCGGATTGAGTCAAGCTCGATGTCGTCGAACGCGTCGAACGAGTGTGGAAGAAGAAAAACGCTTCCGTTGATTCAAAAGTCGCGACATGGGCCATCGTGGCGCGGTCGACGACGTAAAACAGGCACTGCTTCGCAGGCTGCCACGTCAGCCCCTCGGAAAAGCTGTGTGTGTGGATCTTTAGGGGGGTTGGCAATCGCCGGGGGCGTCGTCACAACCACGTATTTTGTTGTGGACGAAAACGAGTCGATGTACGACCACGAGGGGTCTGGAATGACTGCCTCGCGGACACTGCCGTCGTTGTCCAAGCGGAAGACGCCCGTGTGTTTGCCCATCCAGTCGATATTGACGTTGAAATACGTGTCGGTGGCAGCGTCGTGTTCTAGTGAAACGTGGTCAAGGCAATGGCACAACTACAGGGAGAACTTGCGCTCGTGCGCTGTGGATATCGCCCCCACGAGTCGGTCGTCGTACGCCGAGTACTTGGCAAACGTTTTCGTCTCGAAAATGTCGACATCAATCAGTTAGAGCATGTTGTTATCGCTCTTGACCGCAATCGTGTTGAGAACGAGCGACTTGGGCAAGGTCGACACTGTCACGTTCAAATTCATCTCTCAGGGGCGGTAGACGGTGCGATGGCCGCGTGGATCATGGCCGCAACCAAAGAGAGATACGCAAGGATCGAGCGCCGGGCCAAACAAAATCGGGTTCGCGTTGAATCAAGTCGCGCATGCCCGTCGCGATGAGCTTGTTGTGGTACCACACCGTCCCATCCGATCGAATATTGAATTGATGCATGACACCAAGGCCGTCCAAGCAATGCCGGATCGTAGTCGGTTTTTTCGACAGGGGGCGGGACGGAATGGCGTATATATGCCAGGGGAAGTCCGATACAGGACGCTGTTGGCAAGCCATGCAGGAAGAACGCCCTCCACAACCTTGTACACGACAGGCGCGCGTTGTTCGACCAAGGTTTGGAACCCCGAGGCGGCGGCGGCCGACGCTTTGTTGACAAGTGCCCCCACCGAACATGCCCCACTACTGCCACCGTCTGTCGTCAACGCCCATCGAGAATGACGGTTGATTCACACACATTCTACCCTAAACTTCAACTTTGCGACATTTCGTCATGACACGGTCGGCATCACACTGCCGACGGCAATGTCGGGCCTCCAGTCACTTGGCAAGTGAGCGCTTCAAAGAGGCCGACGCACAACGCTTGTGTGACCGCCTTGGCTTGACAACGGGTACTGCCGGATGCTCCTGTGTCAACTGATTGAGTCGTGCACACGGGTCAACCGATTGTGTTGGTTGAAACGTGCATGAAGAGGTCACTTCACTTGGAGGGCAGCGTGTGGCTACATATGCCGTCGGGACGCGACCCCCACCAGTCACAGCTGCGAAAATAAGTTGCTGCGTGTAAACCTTGGAATGATGAAGCGGGTGTGTAGGGTCTGCCATTTCGACTGGACTAAGCGGAAGTACAATACGTTGGTGAAATTTTCGTTCAAGATGATTACGATCGCGTGATTTTGTTCAGTGACGACACTAGATGCAATACGTTGAGGGTCCAAAAGGTTTTCGTATCAACTTGTCTAGACAATTGCGTCGGGTGACGGGCGCTGCGACTTAGTGAGACTTTACCAGAGGCGCTCGCTCACTGAATGCTTCGGATTCACCCCACAGAAGCACTTCTTGCAACGATCGCCCTGCCATGGGACCAGCGCTGATATACAAGAGATATACAATAGTGACGCCATTGCCGAGGAAAAACAGCCCAGCCACCCACAGCATGGCGATCGCGACATTGCCTTCACGCAGTTCACGCACTAGCACGTACGTCGTGACCATGGAAATGCCTGTGAGTACGTCGACAAGCGTCACGTAAGCCCATGTGTCGGAACGGATGAAGTCCCAGCCGTCTGGGACGGATTAGGTGGCCAGAGCGTAAAAGAGGTAGGCCCAATAGATGAGCCCAAGAGTGCCAATGCACCATTGAAATACCAGCACTCCCCAAGTCTTCGTGTTTGGCGCGTGGAGCGTATGGTGGAGCGGCAGCACCGAATCTCGCAATGTGCCTCTACCCGTCCAGATCAGGACAACAAACAGTGCCACTGACACGACATTGCCCAAAATAGTGCATGCGACGACCACAATGACGCCCACAACCAGGTTCGGAGATCGGAACCACATATATGGGACGGTGAAGCATAGCCCCGCAACATAATCGATCAAAGCACAAGTGGCCCACACGTTCGACCGGATGTGGCTGAACCCTTCGGAGAGAGAGACGTCACGGATTGCAGGAAATAGGACTGTCGCAAAGTACACGGTCGGCACGGCCAGAACCGCGCCGACCACAAAGCGCGCGAGGAGATGGTGCGGCGACGGCGACATGAACGTCTGAGAAGGTCAAACGATATGCCGTTGACGTTGCCACGCTCCCATTGGTTCAATTAATTCTACAGATGGCCAATCAATGGCATTCAAGATTCGGCCGAGATTTCACGAAAAAAATACGAAAATATGACGAAAGTTTGTTGGGGGTGTCCACGACAACAACTGCCGCGAAGTTGACGCAAGTCCATTGAATGCATGCTTGGAGGGTGAGGCAGAAATGACATGAGTTTGTCTACCTCTAGAGAGGGTATGCGTGGAGTTGTTTTGCAGAAATCGTGTGGACTCTTCACGGACCGTGGCACTTTCGTTGGGTTACAGCGTCACAAATGAAGGTTCGACTGGTAGCTAGCTCCTCTTGCTCCACAATCCGAAAGTCCCCATTGTGTGTACTTCACACGGAATTGCTCAGCCTATGGACAGTGTAATCATCGAACCATTGCCCATTTTTCAGCTTTTTACACGATGGCTCGTGTGGGTTGTGACGTAGCGCTGATGCGGTACACCATGCCCTTCACCAGCTTGATGGAGCCTTGCCAGTGGCACGTGAAGTGTTCTTCCCGGGTGAAAGAAGGGAGTGTCCACATGGGCACGAAAATCGACGGATGCTGTATCGCAACCAGTAATGTTTTGTGGTGGTTTTCGACAATGTCGCATGCCTACGTGGTGTCGTCGTGAGTCATTCGGCGGCCTGCCTCCACTGAAGAAAGCATTTTTCAGAGAAGCCCCTTCCTCCACTCACGCAATTATACACGCTAGTACGACCTCTGTGTTTGCAAGACTGTACTTATAGCAACCTCCTGCTTGCACGAACGGCCGAACCTTTGGCGCGCTCGAGTCTGTGTGATCTGCCATCATTCGACTCGTGAAGTGGCCTCCACCCATGCAACTAGATCCCCTCAGTGTTTCAATAACTTAGCATGGATTCCCTGACATGATATATTGACCGGTGTGCCGGGGGGGACAGCTCGTGGGCCAGAATTTTCCAGTGTACTCTCGAGCCCCACGCAGCGCGCCCATCGCATCGTCTGGGCATGGTCACTGAACTACTCTTCGACAGATATCTGACATGCCATTATTGCGGCACGATCTTGTACAGCAGCACAACACGAATTCCCATGGTGGCCGCGTCTACAGCAGCATCGGCACTTCGAAGACAACAGTCTGCATGCATCAGCCGGCTCTGAGATGAATACATCTACGCGACCTTGCATGATGGCTTTCACCTGCATGTTGAAGAAGCACGTTGTGACTGACGCCAACGCTAGTGAGTTCCAGCACGGGTCCTTGTTTTGGCTCACTTACGTTTGTTCCAGCATCTTGGTACAAACCGAACGAGGATGGACATAGAGGGCCAGTAAGTGACCCAACACCAGAATTGGGCCAAGATTGCTGCTGTTGTGTGGAAGAAGCTCATTGCACTCCCACCCGTCGCACGGCTGTTCCTTCTACAGCAGTCCTGGGCAGACTTCATGCATGTCGCCAGACTCCTGGTCATTTCAAGCTGCGGACATGTTTGCCCCGTACGATAGAAAGTTGGCGCATGCGTACGATAGTCCATGCAACGACGCCGCGTGGTGTTCTCACCTCCTTGTTTTTGCAGCACACTCCTCGACGTGAACTCCAACAAAGATGCTGTCGAGGCGCATTCATTCGTCACTTGAGCTTGCTGTAAGGCGACCGTGTTAAGCACGATATGATTCACTGAAGAGCAGGCCATCGACGTTCCTGAGCGAAAATGGTCGGTCGTCTTTGCGTCGTTCCCGGGCGCACAGAACCCCCCCGCATCGCTGGAGCAGTGCGCGCCTTCTCACGCTGAACTCTCAACCGCATGTGTTGTAAAAGTAAGGTTTTCCTTCGAATTTGGAGATCAAAAGTAAATGTGACGCTCTTCAACCGAGGGATGTGTATTTTTTCACACACCACTTTGCATCCTCTCGATTTTTGTAACAAATTTTTATAAATTTCGAATCTGATCGGTGGAATTTGAAAATATTTCGAAATTTGAATGCGGTTTTGGCGCATATTTCCCCCTTCTCGTCGCCACCACTTTCGTTTTCGCAAAATTCCCCCGTCGGTTTGGGAATTTCGCCACCATGGACAACTCGAATTCGACATTCAAGATCGACCACCCCGACGTGACGACGCTACAAACCGACGACCATGCCAACAACCACACGGTAAAGCCCGAGTCCAGCGATGGTGACGCCACGTCCCAGAGCGGCCGCAGTGGCAAGAAACGTGGGCCGTACCGGACCAAGGACGTAATTGCTGAAGAACGGGCCAAACTCGAGGCCGCCCGCAACATGAAGCGCATGAAGCGAATGATGGAAGCAAAAGCCAAGGACGAGAAACGCAGGCTTCGTGAACTGCGACGACAAGCGAAAGCTTCCCTCGATCCATCCGTCAAGCGCTCCAAGAGCCTGTGGTAGGTTCGACAGCAGCCGTGCAGTGTACCTCAAACGCGTGTAGGAGCCCCGAAGCAACGCAAGCTTGCGTACATGTGTCGTTGGCGATTCGAAAACAATACGACGCCATTCGAGACGAGCGACCACGATGGCAACCATTCTATCTCGATCACCTCCATCAACACGACGAACCCGCCCTGGCCCTGTGGAAACCCGACGAAATTCGCCGACATTTGGACGAGCTGTTGTTTCAGTTTCAGGTACTTATATTCCTTCCTGCACATTGTTTGGTCTAATGGAGACTTGCAGCACGAGCGCGAGCATTTGCGTGTGGGCCTCGAACCTCAAGTATTTGATGATATTGCCGAGCTAGCGGAGCTTGGGCTCACTCCGATCCGTCCCCCTGGGTTCTTGGACGAAGTGGGATTGGACCCGACTTCGTTTATCATTGAAGACACCAAGAAGTATGACTTGAAGGACATGACGTTGGTGCGTTGCCCGCCATCCCCTGGGATAGATTGTCTGACTGGCGTCGCGCTCTCGTAGGCGGAATCAAATCAAGCGATCATGTCGTTCCTGGCAGAGCAAAGCCGACTCGCGCAGCAGAATCAAATGTTGTTCATGCAACAGATGCAACAACTGCAACAGCATCAAGCCCAGCAATCGGCGCTTTTGCTTTCAGCGCTCGAGTCCCTTGGTGCTTCGCGAAAAGCAACGTCTAGCCCTCACAGTGGTGGCAGCGAAGTCCAGCGGGTGTCGCCCAACACGATCATTTAAGACCTCGCCTAAGAAGCGACGTGAATGTGTTTCGTTGTCGGTTGTTGCACGCCGCATTTGCCCCATTGCAAGAAATTGTGTATTTAATTACATGGATGAACTTGCTTTCGGTAAGAGAATTTAACAAAACGGAAATAATTGCCCATACTTTATCCAAGTGAGTGCGAATGCTGGGGTTTTTCTTCGGTTCTTGGGTGGAAGGAAACTTTTGGCACGGGATCAAGGACACCATGGCAACTCAAGAGCGCCAACGCAACTTCAAGAAAGGGATCGATGTCGAGGACATCCGCCGCCGGCGAGAAGACACGGCTGTCCGAATTCGTAAGGAGAAACGCGACGAACAACTCGCCCAGAAGCGTCGGATGGCGGTGGGTTCCTTTACGTTAAAGTCGATCATGTCGTCAATCCCCATGTAGGCTGGACAAATGGACGTCTCAGCACCAACTGAAGCTGTCGACGCCCACTTGCAGCAACGAGTAAGTGCATTGATCGTCTTTATGTGCATCTACTTGGCTTAATACGCGTCATGCTAGATCAACGAGCTGCCTGAAATGTGCCAGGACTTGCGATGTCCCGACCCGGTCAAGCAACTGAACGCCGTGACGAAATTCCGCAAACTTCTCTCCATCGGTATGCCCAAGCCTTCAATCCTTCTCGGCTTCTTGGCTTCGATCGATTGTGTGTTCTGGATCCTGCGATGGACAGCGTTCCCAACACTCTCGGCCTCGTTACACAATGCTTTGTAGAGAAAAACCCGCCGATCGAAGAAGTCATCTCTCTTGGTGTCGTACCTGTGTTTGTTGAGTTCCTCAAGTTCGAAGCGAACCCGCGGCTGCAGTTCGAAGCAGCATGGTCGCTCACCAACATCGCGTCGGGCACGTCCCTGCACACACGCATTGTGATTGAGCATGGCGCTGTACCCGTCTTCACGCAGCTGCTTTTGAGTCCCGATGACGACGTGCGAGAGCAAGCGGTGTGGGCACTTGGCAACATCGCCGGAGACTCGCCCGAGTGCCGCGACGTCGTGTTGAGCTGTGGCGCGCTGCAGCCTTTGACACAGCAGCTCTCGAGGGATGCAAAACCCACGATGGTGCGCAATGCGACGTGGACATTGAGCAACTTTTGTCGCGGTAAACCCGCCCCGCCTTTCGAAGCGTACGCGCATCATGCACATGGCGTGCCACTCATCCGATCGTAGTGTTCGACCCGCGCTATCGACCCTCGCTCAGCTCATTTTCTCCCAGGACGAAGAAGTCCTGACCGATGCGTGCTGGGCGCTGAGTTACTTGAGCGACGGTGGCAATGAAAAGATCCAAGCTGTGATTGAGACGGGTGCGTGCAAGCGTTTGATTGAGCTCTTGATGCACCCGTCGCCGTCCGTGCAGACGCCTGCACTGCGCGCGGTGGGCAACATCGTCACAGGCGACGACATCCAAACGCAGGCACGTTTTAGTTTTTTGGTCGGTTCGTGTGATCGACACTGGCTTGCGTAGGTGATGCTGAATTTGAACATCCTGCCGTGCCTGGTGGCGCTCCTGCACTCGCCCAAGAAGGGGATTCGAAAAGAAGCGTGCTGGACAGTCTCCAACATCACGGCAGGCAATCCGCAGCAGATCCAAACGATTTTTGATCACGACATCTTTCTCATTCTCCTCGACTACCTTGCCACGGTACTGTCCCCAACCCACACAGCGCACGCATGGCGACCTCAATCTATCGTCAGGCGGAGTTTGATATCAAGAAGGAAGCAGCGTGGGCTGTGTCGAACGCTACATCCGGCACACCCGAACAGATTCGACAACTCGTGCACTTGGGTGCGTCGGTCACGTCTTGTTGCAGCTTGCGCTAAGGCTACTGTGTTGTGGCTAGGATGCATCCCCCCTCTGTGCAACCTGCTCGAAGTGTCCGAGCCCAAACTCATCACGGTGGCGCTGGAAGGCCTGGAAAACATCCTCGTGGCGGGAGAGAACCAAGGCCTTGCGGACGGCACCCACGTGAACGAGTACGTAACCGTGGTCGAAGACTGTGACGGCGTGACCAAAATTGAAAACCTCCAGTACCACGAACAGACTGGTACGCATCGACGACTTGTGCTGTCGATGGAATCGGATCGATGGTGACCGATCGATGGTAGAAATCTACAACAAGTCGCTTGGATTGATCGAGCGGTTCTTCCAAGGCGAAGATGACGACGTTGGTGCGGACGTTGCGGTGCAAGGCGGTCAGTTCCAGTTTGGGTTTGACCCGGCGACAAACGCGCACCCGACTGTCTTTTCGTTTGGGCAACCGCAGTAGCCCAACTGGGTGCTGCTCCCTCACTCCACGTCGTGTGCAGGATAAAGTAGAGTGCCAACGATTGCATGTGTCCCGTTGTGCCAAACTCGACCCGTGTGACGACGCGTTTGCAAGCGGCCACACTCTCTATGGGCCGACATGGCGCAAGGCATGAAACTTGGGCTAGATACAAGTGCACGAGCGAATCAGTGGTTTCACCGCATCATCTTTTCGGTCTAATCATTCCATTCGATCCTGTGCTACCCATATACTGTCGACGTTGGTGCGCGAGACAAGGTTGTCGATGGTGGCTGCGCACACGGTATCGTCGCTATGGAGACTGCTATTTGTCTGTCCCTGCGTGTTTCAATTCGTCAGTCGGAATCGTCCCCATCTGCTCAAGCACTTGGAGTCCTCGTTGGACCTTTTCGCGCGTCTCGGCGCTTACGTCGTCGTCGGCGGCGAGGAGAGAATTCAGTCGCTGCAGTGTTTCGAGCATTTCCGCTGGATTGATATGAGACAAAATGGAGGAATCGACGGGTGGGTTCTTCGGCATCTCGTTCGCCTCGTGGTCTTCTTCATGGATGACTGCGAGATGGCCCTCGCTGTTGCCGTGATCACCTCCCGATGGCTCTGACCATGCCGAAGCAACTTGCCGAGGCATCTTGTTCACGGTGGGCTTGGCCTTATCGTCCGACGGTGGAGGTGTGCACCACGTGTCGCCAGCGTATGGCAATTCGCAGCGGTGCAGAGCAAGCCGTAGCAACGCATGCCGTTGGCGTGATCGTTCCCTGTGTCGACAGACCTGAATACCTCCATAGCACACCAAACCCACTCCGAGCGTGTTGAATGTTGTCGTCGCATTGAAGATCCAAGCAACGATGATGCACAAACCAGCAACGAAAGCAACCCAGTGAGCAATTGCAAACAACTCAGACTGCAGCGGTGTTCGTGTTTCCGTGACGTGTGTGCCAAGGAAATTCTGAATGCTGCGAACCACTGCCACGTCGTGGCAGTGGTCAAATGACGGCCATGACGCCGATGGTACGTCGGAAGGAGGAGGTAATGACGTCTTTTCACCGCTGGCGGCTACTGACGTGAAGACGGGTCCGAGATGACGGTCGAGTCGAAGCCACAGCGGGTTGGTTTTTGGCAAGTCGAGGCATTCGAGAGCAATCGCCAACGTTGTAAAGTGAATCAATTGCATCTGTACGTGCAAGTGAGAGACTCGCTTCCCATAGAACAATTGTGGAACTTACGTGCGCTGGAACAGACTGTTGCGACGCCGTAGTGAGGTCCAGTGCGCCCAGCAGTTCTTCGAGGACTTCTGGTACCGCTCGGGCTAATGCACCATTGGCCTTATCCAAGAGGGACACCAGAAGCGACCGAGTGACGTCAAGTAGACGTAGGCTGTTGACAGAGTTGTCGAGACGTAGGGATGCAAGTGCCATGGCGAGGCGACTGGCAAGGTCCATTTTGTCGCCAAACGAGAGCTGTTGGAGAAGTCATTGTACGCGGTAGGCATGCGAGGTCTTCAACCGTACCTGCTTCAAGTGACCGCGAACGGACATTAGCTCATTCAGTGCATCACGAAGCTCGTTGGGGTTTGCGGTTGCTAGTGCTTCCAGCATCGCGCGACTGTAGCCCTTGCTCGCCTCCATTGTGCGAGGTCAATTCGGCAATATCGACCTCTTCAAGCAGCGACGCCATTACGAATCGGTGATTGGATAAAATCAATTGGATTAAACTATTTGGATTGGACATATATTTGATTTACTTCATATGCATCCAGGATGCACCGCAACTCTAGGAGCCCAGGTCAAGGGATTGAGTGAAAGAGCTCACAGTTGTCTCGAATGCATCACTCCCTGTAGCGTAGCTGTTGGCTAGATGGAAGCACACGTTGTCGTTAGTGAGAAGTGCGCTTGCCATGGAGTACATATCGTTGCTCAACGATTGGGGAAACGCTTGCACGAACGCGTCGAGAGCGGTGCGTCCAGGAAGGCACTGGTCGTCTTCAAAGAGCGCCGCCAGGGTCAGGTCCGTGTCAATTACGGTGGACGTCACTACAGGCATTTTGCTAGCCCATTTCAAGAGGGCGTTGATGGGAGTCACACACGCATCCGGCAAATTCGGCGCAACGAAGAGCGTGGTCGACACGTTTCTCGTCGTAGTGATGGAACCACCCTTTGCGGCCTGGAGGCCTTGGTCGTTGGGCACCTGCACTGCATTGAGCACAGTCCACACTAGCTGCTGCAAGTTGCCCGAGGACATGGCCAGAACGGACGACAAAAGAGTGAACCCACAAAGTTGCGACTCGTCCTGGAATCCTGAGTACTGACGGGAACAAACCACATCCACGACGCGGCTGACAGCGTCGACCACGAACGAGTCGAAAGGAACACCGAACTGAGCAATCGAGTCCTCAAGAAGCGCGACGCAGCATGGCTGCGATGACAAGAGAGGCATGAGGGCGGGCAATAGAGCCCGACGGAGGCAGGGCAAGACATCAGTCATGGGTAAGCACAACGAGTCGAAGTAAGCTGCGTCCTTAGCAGACAGGGAGGCAAAGCCAGACGAAGTCAATAGATCCGCGGCAGTGATGCTTGGATATGACGACGTTGCTGTGACAAGCCAGTCGAGCGCCCGGAAACAGGTCGGTGTTTCCAAGACGACCGATCCAGCTTGCATGAGCGTTGCTGTGTCGAAAGATCCAATGCATGTCGAGAAGGAACTGGGCAATGGAACGCCGTTCAGCAATTCGTGGGTGGCCAGACCAGTGTAGGTCAACAACGACGACGCCAATGGGCTGTGTGGATCGTGAGCTTGGGGGCAACTCGAGTCCGTTGCACCCACCACACCAATCAATCCACCGAGTCGGAGAACATGCAGGAGCTTGCGTGTCACCATGTTTCAAACTCTTAAATGGTTAGCCTTGGGCATCCGTGACGATGCACCACCACCTATCCGAAAACACAACTCGTGGTAGCCGCTCAACCGACGGCTGCACTGGCGCGGCACACCGCTCATTTGGCCATGCAGAATTGTCGTGCCGTTGAGAGTGGACGGACGTTTCAGGTTAAACTGACACTAGCATCGAGTGGATTGATTGGCCATAAAAATGATGTATTTAAGCGAATTAGAGTCACTTGGGTTCAGCTAATGAGATATCATTGGACAAAATACTAGTTGACGGACTTGAGAATGTAGGTCACTTTGCGTCGTCGATCACCGCACCATCATGAATGTGAACGTGAACGTCGGCATCCTTGGACATGTAGGTACGATGGGCAATGCGCTTTCTCCACATGCCCTGATGCACGTGTAGACAGCGGGAAGACCAGTCTCGTCCGTTCATTGAGCACGCACTTGTCGACGGCAGCCTTGGACAAGAATCCGCAAAGCAAAGCTCGCGGTAATTCCGCCTCTAACTTGATGTGGCTCTGAGCAGTAGAGTTTTGGCGTAGGCATCACGTTAGACCTCGGGTTTTCGTCCTTTCTTCTCCCATTAGAGGATGCCCCGACGTCCTCGCCAAGGGCGGCGCAGATCACCCTAGTCGACTGCCCTGGCCACGCGTCGTTGATCAAGACCGTGATTGGCGGTGCCCACATCATCGACATGGCGGTGCTCGTGATTGATGTGGTCAAAGGTATCCAGATGCAAACCATCGAGTCCATGGTGCTTGCAGAACTCTCGACGCCGCACGTCCTTGTTGTCCTCAACAAGATCGATCTCTTGCCTGTGGAGACGCAGTCGGCACAGATTACCGCCATGACCAAGACGATCCGCGAGTTCCTCTCGGCTTCTCCAACACTCCACGCGGCTCCAATTATCGCTGTGGCTGCTGGAGATGCCGATGGAACCCGTGCCCCTCGTGGCATGTCGGATCTCTTGGCCGCAATGCGATCCCACCTCCACGTGCCGACTCGATCCGCAGACGGACCACTTGTGTTTGCAGTTGACCACTGTTTTCCCTTGCGCGGAAAAGGCACTGTGCTTACTGGCACAGGTTCGTCTAGCCGCCATTCCTGCCGACGCTGATAGGAGCTTGTAGTTCTGAATGGACAGATCAAAGTCAACGACACGATCGCGTTGCCCATGCTTGGAGTCGAGAAGAAGGTCAAGTCGCTCCAGATGTTCCATGCATCCGTGGACAGCGCTATCCAAGGCGACCGCGTGGTATGTAGTCGTTCCCGCCAAAGGAGAACTCGTCGAGCATTCTCGACCAATTCAGCTCTTGACAAGTGTTGGCAGCTCCTTCGTCACGTTTGCTCAGTTGGTGCATTGTGACATGCTTGGTTAAAATCGTAGGCCATTCGCGTACATGGCTTAGACTCTTCAACGATGGAGCGCGGCCTCGCCATCACCCCTCACAGTCTGACCTTTTCGTCCAACTTGGTCCTTCCAGTCCATCAAATTCGGTTCTTCTCGCTGCCGTGTCCGAGCGGCTCCAAATTACACGTGACTGTGGGCCACACGACTGTGATGGCCAAGGCAACGTTCTTCTACAACAAGATGCATTGCGCCAGTGACAACCCGCCGTTCGATCCCGCGATTGAGTACTCGTATCTGCCCGTCCTCGACCCTCTGTCCGGTTCAGCAGCGTCCGAAGGAAATAGCCCCCACCTGGCGCCGAGCGCCGTCTTGGTTCTCCTGCAGCTGGACCGGCCCGTTTTGTGTCCTCCGCACAGCCACGTCGTGTGCTCCCGACTTGACACAGACGTGAACCGTCAAGTATGTCGCATCGCGTTTCACGGACGAGTGGACGCCACGATCGAGGACGTTGCCGCCTCGATCCGCATCGGGAAGGTGAAAGAGCGCCGCGGCGTGGTCGACAAGAGTCTGGACGACCCGTCCGTCGTAATTGTCAGGGATCTCTTTCGGAAGGAAACCAATTGGGATGTCTTTCGCCACCTTCGCGTGCAAAATACACGGACGAAAGCTGTCGGCCACCTCGATGGGCCATTCGGAAAAGCGGGCAAGTGTCGTGCGATCTTTGCAGCGACCGACGCGGTGGCTGGCGATGTCGTCGTCCTTCGGTTTACAAAGACCTTGTTCCAAGACAAAGCGCACCACCTTCGACTGCGTCAAAACCCAGCGATTTACGACGACCCAACAACGGCAACGCCCCGCGCCGAAGCCCTGAACTCTGATGTGCGAGCCAAACAAGTCGTGGAACCACTCCTGGAAACCTTCGAATGCGAGAAGTGCCGCACTGGACTCGTTGAACGACTCAAGGGGGAAACTGCACCGAATGGAGCGAACCCGTCCGTGATTGCGGCCGGTCTCTTTGCGACGGCGGAAGAAGCGGCCGAGTTTGTCGGCGCTGAAGTCGCAACGGATGCAGCGGAAATCGGTCATGTTGAAGCGCTCTTTGGCAAAGCTGGCAAGGTGCGCGTCGTGTTTCCATGCGGAGGCACCATGGCCAAAGTCGGAGACACAGTCCGGCTGTTTGAAAAGTAATGGCAGCTAAAAGTCTCCTAGAGTCGCGTCAATCGTTGTTGCCTTCACTACAGCAAAGACACACCGACACAGCTTCGACATGTCGGAGGAGCAATCGGCGGCGTGACCTATTTGTCTCTACGTCCCCTACCAGCCGCATGTTGTTGCTGGAGCAATGAACAACCCCCCCCTTGGTTGCATGGGACTTCTGAGCCATGGCTGAATCACGTCGTTGCTCCAAGCGCTCTATCCGAATCACAAGATGACGACTTCTGTTACTTGGTCACTACATGGAGGTACACGCTATAGTTGAGTGCGTTGGAGTTATCGTCGGCAGTGCCGGCGCCAGTCTGCATGAGAATAGATTACACCATACGCAGCGGGACTTCATTGTGTGACCAGCAACGCAGACGGCGGCACGCGCCGCACTGCACGTTCGTGGAATGGACCTGCGACTCGCAAGTTAGCATCGCCCCTCGTTCAAGTTGAGAGAAATTTTGCACGGCAATTTGTGTGATTTTTGGGTCCATTTTCGACAATTTTTGGTTTTTTCTGGGCAAAATGAAAGTTTGACTCGCGATTTTCCAAATATGATACAGTATATTTATCGAAGCGGTGGATTTTTGCGCTGTAGTGTTGGAAAGAACAGGTCGTTACTCGAAAGATTGTCAAGGGCGATGGGGGTCGCGCTTCCACCGCTCACGGGCCTCAACGACAACACGACGTCCCCGCATGAGGCGTTCCTTTCGCTCCGTGAAGCCGTCCGGCGCGACTGCCACAGTGATGTCGCACTGCGCAAACACATCACGTGCCACCTTGTGACGCTCAACGACACTGGCGTGCACAACTTGCTCCAGGTGCTGGATTGCTACCTCGTTGACGACATGCAGATGACGATGCCAGAATTCCTTGCCTCTCGGGGTGCATTGTACGGTCCCGTCAATCGAAACAAGTGCGAAGAGGTGTGGAATGGCGATCACATTGCGTACCGTTGTCGGACGTGCGGTCTGTCCGACTCGAGCTGCATGTGTGTGAGGTGCTTCGATCCCGCCCAGCACGAAAATCACGATTACCGCATATATCGGTGCAGCTACGGTGGGTGCTGTGACTGCGGCGACGACCTAGCCTGGAAGTCGTCTGGGTTTTGCTCGCGGCACAAAGACGAGAGCGGAGACAGCCCCGCCGTCGAGATCCCCACGTTGGAAGCTGCACGATTACATGTGACTATAGATTCGATCCTTCAGTTTGGCAACTTGGTATTGCACACGGTGTACGAAGAATGCACTGTTGTCCCATCGCCGTCGGCCCATCGCCGTCCGCATGGGTTCACGCACTTGCTGCCAGTCGGGGGAAGTGGCCACCGGCATCCCAAACGGTCAAGCGTCCCGCCATCCTTTGCATCTCTGTCCCTGTCTACACAATCCCTTCTCGCCCGGCTGTCGCTTAGTCTGTTGTGGCTGCAATCTGTTGCGGGCAGTTGCATGCCGTATCGCACGGCGGTGTGTCGGCGGTTCCTGGAACCCATTTCAGGGTTGGCGTCGTTACCCGATGGCAGGTATGTCTCCTTCAGCTGCGTGGGACGTTGCTGGGCAACTCATCCATGCCTAGTTCGGACACGTTGGCGTTCTGGCTCACCTTCGGTGTCCTCCTGCCGCTTGACTGCTGCGACGCTGTGGGGGTGCTGTACCTGAAGCTTCTCATGGACAAGTCGTTCAAGAAGGCGTTTTCGCTGCGTTTTCTCGACGCTTATGCGTACTACATTCAACTTTACCTGGGAGACACGTCGTCGGATTCGGGTCGGAAGCATCTCAGTCGGCACATCGATCGCCTGTTTTGCCAGCTCTTCCACAGCTCGGAGCAGCTACGGGCCATCGATGCAGTGCCGTACCGGTTTGTGTTTGTGAAGCCTTACCTTGCCTTCCCGACCCTTGGAATTGTTGTCTCCTGGAATCGTGACGATGTCAAAGAAGGTGGCTGAACGATGGATGATGTAGACTTGGAGCGCTCCATGGTCTGTCCATGTCGTCCAATGCACGCATGACGCTGAGCGAGTCGCTGACGTATTTCTGTCTGCGCGAGATGGCCAACCTCCTCGCGTCGGCGGCGGCCCCGACGCTTCGCACAAACCACGTGCTGATCAAGACTCGCGTGTACGCTCGGTTCTGCTCCGAGCTGCGATGCCTCCTGGTGCATCCTGACTTCGCCGCCCAAACAATTGTGAACTCATGGAGCGAGAACAAGGTAACATTGCCACCAGTTCACAACGATCGTGGGTGTTGACTGGCGGTGGGACATAGATGCTGGAGAACGAGTCGATCTATCAAGCGCTTCTGGATATCTTGACAACGATGCAGTGCATGGACACTCAAGTCAAACAAACGGGGCGACATGTCGACTTTGAGTCGGATGCGTGGCAGGCGGCGTTCGTTCTAGACTACGAAGTTCTCCTGGTGTGGCAGTACCTTGTCCAAGGGCTCCACCATGCGCTCGAAACAGCCACGATGAATAAACCCCTCGTCCTTCAGATGTGGCTGAGCCCTGTGGCCGACCAACTGCGGCGCTGGTGGCTTGCGCACGGTGACTGTGTCGCGAGCGGTCTCGTGAATGTCCAGCATCAGCTCGATTTCTACGCCACGCGACATGGCCAACTTGATCGAGCCGTCGTGGCTACAAGCATGCACTTGCCGTTGCACCATTTGTTTGGGAGCCTCTTGGACGAAGCGCACCGCTATGGTATGTGAAATAAACCACAACAGCGGCGCCGTGATCACTTTTGTAGAGCCGAAAGACCTACTCTGGACCCTGGTCCAACGCGAAGACCGCGATTTTTGGTTTCGCCTTGTTGTCCACTTGTTTCAAGTCCATCTTTTCGTCCGCGGCATCAAGTGCTACGAGTGGGTGTTGAATGGCCAAACCATGCTCCACCAAGTCATCCACTACCACTCACGCCACTGGAGGTATCACGGCCTCCACAACGATCTATTTCTACTCCAACTGGCGGCCGCCGCACTCCCGCCCAGTGCGTTCACGACGCTCTTTCTATCCCAGTGGCTCGAACACTGTTCCCGCGCCAAGGACAACGACATGCGGATGACGGCGGAAGGACTTAAAGTCCTGCTGCAAGTCGTGCTCGACCCGACCAAAATCGCCGCCGTGACGCCGTGGGACCTCTTGGTACGTTATCCAACATAGCGTGTGCATGCCACTCACTTGGACAGGTGCGGGATGTTGTCCACTGGCTTGCGATCGGTCCGTTGACGCGCACGGAATTGCATGCCAAGTGCGACAGTCGCCTGATCGAAATGGTAAAAGCGGGCACGTTTGAAGAAGACGAAGACATCATCGGACGTGTCCTGGCGCAAGTGGGCGACTTGGCGACTGGGTCCGACATGGCCGAAACGTTGCCCCACATGGTACTGCGAGGTCTCGAGGGGGGTGCGGGAACTGGTAAAAGCTGCACGTACGTGCTAAAGGCGTCGGCATGGGCGCTGGTATGTCCACTCTTTGAGAGCTACTCTGCAATGGACGTGCAAAAGTGCGACGAAAACGCCATGCTCCACGACAAGACTGTCGTTTTACAACCTGTCTTGCAGTACCTCGACGCTGCGTTTCGCTCACCGGGGTGCAACATCCACGTGGTTGCAGCTACCCATGTCCTGGCATGTCGGAACGTGTTGGCTGTCGTGGCCTGGATTCTTTGGGATCACCCGATGGACGACGGCCTCGTTCAGGTGGCGCTGTACTATCTGGCCATCGCGACGACAGTGCTTCCGCGGCATCAAGTCACACCTCCTCCGTACGCCACCACTGACGCCCGCGTGAATGCAATCGCAGCTGCCTTTGCAGGTTGATTGCACCTTTGTCTGTGTGTGGTGTGTCGTTCAACCTCATCGTCTTCACCAGGGAATACGTGGTGGGATCACTTGCATTGCGACGTGTTTGAAGGCGCATCGGTGCTAACGTTGCTCGTCGCGTTGGGGCCGCGATTCGGTGGCCTTGCCAACACCATTGCTCAGCGCATCCAATCCACAACACATGTGCAGTTGGCAGCACGTGCATCGACAGACCCAACGGGTGCTACGACGGAATCTCGAAGCGCGGTGCCATGGACAGCTAAAGACCGCCAAGCGCAGATCCTGGCCAAGATGAAAGCCCAACAGCAAGCATTTCTCATCAAACAGCTCGAAGACGATCCCGACAACCTGCCCCTCTTTGACTCGAAAGCGGACGACGATGCCGCCGAACCCGACGATTCCATCCCGACATCGTCTCCGGATATCCACGCCGACGGTGAAGTATGCGCCTTGTGCCACGGCCCGCACACCTCCACCGACGCTCTCGAGTACATGGGCTGCCTGACTCCATCCAACATGGGCACGCTGACCAAGCCACCGTATACATTGGTGCGTGTGTATGTTTTTGTGTTGAAGTCTCATCGGTGGAAGCAGACGACGCAGTGCCATCTCCGCCTCTGTGGCCATGTAGTCCACCGGCGGTGCATCCGAGCGTACCTGGTGACGCTCCACACGACGCTGCACGACGAACGACGCTTGAGTCGAGACCATGCCGAGTATCTGTGCCCAGTGTGTCGCCGATTGTGCAATACCCTCGTCCCCGCGGCTGGCGACGCGGTGGCGCATTCGTTTGGATGCGACTCTCCCAGTTCGTCTTCGTCAAATCTTTCGTCCGAATCAGAGGGGCGTCTGCGAGTCGATGAAGTTGCCGCCGAGATGGAGCAAAGGACCATGATCAACAACGTGCAGGATGAGCGAGGGGAATCGAGCTTGCTGTCTTTGGCCCACCAAGTCGATGTGTGCTGCCGTGTGCAATCTGCGCGCTCAAGCCACGATACGTTGATGGAGCTCCTGCTGCACACGCTCTTCATGACTCATGTACGTGGAGGTTTCCGTTGCTGAGTGAACCACTTGTCCTAGTTGGCATTGCCGACTTGTACAGACGATGGGATGTCCGTGGACGAGTTCCTTCGATTCCACCTCGACGCGACGTCCCAAGTGACATTGCGGCACCTCGTTGGCCTGGTGCGACCGGTTGCCGTCGAGCCCGCTGATGCCGTCGCGATAGTGCTCCATCGCATGGCGAGCGCCAACTCGTTGGCGACCAAGGCTGCAGCATTGACGGCTGCATTGGACGAGATCCTCCAGAGTTCATTTGGTCAAGACGTTGTCGATGGATGCATGGCCGACACGCCGCTGTCTTCGACCCTTTGTCAGCTCGGTACGGACGCAAAAGCGTTGATTCATCATCTTGTTGTCGATGGTCACACGAGTTTGGTCGTAGGAATCGTCATGTACGTGCTCAACCAACGTCGGCAGTCCCACGTCCGCCGCCACGACTCCGTGGAAGCATGGCTCGCCTACGTGGGAGTGCCCGCCGTCGCGGCAAGTATCGCTGCTGCCCCCACTGGCGATGCGCTGGCGAACGCCGCCACCGTTTCCATCCACGAGTCCACCGAGTTGAGGGTCTCCAGTCCACTGGGTGCACAAAGGATTGTGTGGCGCGACGCCACAACGTTTTCGCTGGTGGCGTTGCCCAAGCTGTACGTGGACATCTACCTCCAATACTGCCAGAACACCGTGCGGTGTACCAAGTGTCAGCAAGTGCCGGTCCATCCTGCGCTGTGTTTGTTGTGCGGGGTACGAACTGTCTCGATCCTTTCCACTGCCCCCCACTTCGATTCGTCATGGTGCATGGGGCTCTTGTAGACGCTCGTGTGCTGTTTTGGAAGCTGCTGCGCCGACGACACTGGTGTTGGCGAGTGCACAAGGCACACGCAGACGTGTGGAATCGGGTTCGGATGCTTCCTACTACTCCATGCGTGCACGGTGACTTCAAGGAGGTGTAGGGAAGGATGGCGGCTGACGCGGAGATCGTAGGTGCTGCTGCTCCTGGGAAATGGACGGTGCTGTATCTGGGGCAGCGTGTATTTGGATCGAAATGGCGAAGAAGACGCGCACTTTCGCCGTGGCAAGACGCTGTACCTGAACCAAGACCGCATAGCCGCCCTTACGAGGCTTGTCGTGCTGCACGGGTTCACTGAGAACACGGCGATTCTAAACAGCACGTCGCGACGCGATGGTGCGCGGTATTGACATGCGCTTGAAATATAACGGGATCGGGTTAGTCTACTGAGGCGGAGGAATGTGGCGCAACAAGTGCTCAATGCGGTAGTTGAGCTTGGCGATTTGTTTCTTGAGCGCGGTATTCTCTTCCACCAACGCTTCGTTGCTCACAGCCGTGGATTGTGTCGCCGCACGAGCCGCTTCTTCCTCTTTCAACGCCAACCGCACGCCACGCAAACTCACGAGCAACTGTTTTTGAAACGCGATGAGGTCATCGTTGCTACCGCTGGCAACAGCGCCACCGAGAGAGTTCTCCACGGCCTCCAGTCGACCTTCCAACGCCTAAAGCACATCTTTAGCACACCCACCGCGCACCAGATCGTTGCGCATCGGATCACCTACCGTCACTTTGGCGTCTACCGCTTGCACGCTGCTCATGATGCGAAAGTTTCTGTGGTGCGTTGGTGTTGCGTACTTTGTCGAATCGCACTTTACATATCGCATCTAGCCGAGCCAATCGAGATTGAAACGATCGCCCGTTTCGCGGGCTGCGCGATGGATGACGAGGAATTGGCGCGGAACCGCCAGGAAGTCAGCACGTTCACGGCGGTCATGGCGCCGCTTATGCAGTCCGCGCTAGCTAGAGTCGCGGCGGCTACACCCACGAAGCCATTGCGCCCGTTTTCCGCCAACACGATGCTCACACCAAAGCACAGATCGCCCATGCCATTGGCTCACACAGGGCCGAGGAGACCAGCACGTGCATCTACATGCGCCGCTCCGTCGATACCTGTCACCCCTGCAGTAATAAATGACGATCGAGATGCAATACGCGGACCTGACCGCACAACGATGACGACGTTGTTGAAACCGAGGCCAAAAACACCCCTCAAGAAAAGGTCTCATGCAAAATCCAACCAAGTCGATGTGGAAACTTTTGACGGAGCGTTGCCACCGGTGCTTGCCGACGCAAAGGGATCGACCAAGAGAACGCCATCGCAACGACCGCGAACAGCTTCGGGGACTGCAGCGCGCCAACTCAAAGCTCAATGCAGTACTCCAGGAACGACCCACTCCCCGCCCAAACCCACAAAACCTGCGCATACCTCCCCTAACGCAATACAGCGCGCCAAGCTCCTGGCCAACAAACTGCGGCCCAAGTCAGCCGCGGTGCAGCCCTCCCCGATGATCTCGGACGTTATGAAGAAGAAGCGCCCGAGACCGCCGTCAGCGTGGTCGATGATTCAAAGCCAAGCAACGTCATTTGGTCCCTTGAGCCCAACGGGAGAAGTCGACCGCGTTAGCATCGACTTGACCAAGCAAGAGGTGTCGCGGCAACGTGAAGTCACTGCGTCTGCCCACAAAGTCTTCAACGAAGTCAAGCACACGCGCGACACCAAGCAAATCGAGCTCGCACATTTGCACCGGCAGATCGCTCAACTCACGAAAGAAACGACAGCGTCGAGCTCTGAAACCTCGACGGCCATGGACCTGTCGACCCAAATGCAAGTTTTGCAGCTTCAAATCGCCCAAGACAAAGACCAGAGCGCCAAGTGCCGCCACTACAAACGCGTGTTGGAGCATGTAGTCGAACGCACCAAACTCGACAGCGCCGCGATCGTCGCGCGGACAAAAGTTCTCCATCACCAGACAACAGTCGTTGAAAAAGAGTACGTGTCTGCGATGGCGATACCCGTCCGAGCAGCTCCTCATGAGCTGTGCCAACGCAGGTGGGCCGCGCTGGACAGCCGCATGTACACCTTGGACAACCTGGCCGCCCACACGCTAAAGCGTCTCGACCAACTGCGGTCCGCCGTGCCATCGACATGACATCGTAAGTGATGGCATGTTCATGTAGGCTCGACCAAGCTGCGAAGCGCGACGACCAGGCAGTGACACTCAAGTTTTTGCGATCCGAAGCGGAACAGAGCCAAGAACTGCAGCGACGGCGCGTCGAGGCAGACCGGAAAAGGCGTAACTTGGTGATGACGTTTCGATCGCCTCATGGCGGGAACAACCGGCCACGGCTAAGTCGCATGGACACCCATCTTCTACTCCTGCGGGAGTCGGCGCTCACAAGTCGCGAGGCTGAATTCGACTGGCTCGTCGCGCAGACGGGCGAAACAGACGTTGCTCTGCTCATGGACCGGTTCGTCCAGTACGAGCACGCTATGACGATGCTACGGCAGCTTCAACTCGACGGCGTCGCTGCCCATGCTCGGCTGGACAAGGAGCACGCCCGTTTACAGGCCGAGGTGTACGAGCTCCGGGCGTGGTGAGTCGCTGGCTGGCATGCGACGCGCGCATACGCTCATGAAAAAGGTTGTGCAGTGGGTCGGATCAAGTCTTGGAAACACAACGCAAGGTGAAAGGCATGCTCGAGGACGAGCTGTGGTTGGCGCAAGCAACCGAGGACACCGCGCAACAAGAGATGCAGTACTACCAAGGAATCGTGACAGGTACGTGCTGCACTGCCGGTGTCGCTACCACGTGCGTCATCCCTAGCGATGCACCAAGGCCTGCACAGCATCTTGCTCTGGCTTCAATGCGTCGACCCCATGGGGTCCAGCGACTTCAAGTCGCAGCCGCTGGAAGCGCTACCGTCCTTGTGCATCAACGTGTTCCAGACCCACTTGGCCAGCTTGGAAACGTACTCAACCCAAGCTCTGCACGAGGTAAAATTGCACGACCTCCCACACATTCGACAGGCTCGGCGCTGCTCTCTAACGCACGGACGCAGCTCCTGGAGACGCTTCCCGTGAATTTGTGGCGCAATGCTCCGCCCAACGACGAATCCGTCGTCGACGACGACGTCGACGACTTTCACCGGACAAGCAACTACGAAAACGCCACGCGGCGAACGCATGCAGCTCGAATACTCGAGCCGAAAGCTCTCTGCAAGCAGGACTCGTTCTAGTACCGATGCAATTCAAAGGTTCAGATCCTGTCGCCCGTCTTTTGAGTGGTTATCACTGCACACGCGGCTGGAGAGTCACAGCATGGCTGGCTGAGCTTAACGTGAACTTTGTTGATACCTTAGGTCGGCACTATTCCAGACATGCCCGCATGAACGTATTGTAATTTACATGGCCATCGTCCATCGAGTCGAAGTCCTTGAGCAGCTAGCACAACCATGAGCCATGGCAGCGACGAGAAGCACAACGCACCGCGTAGTACACGCCGTCGTTGAGTGTGACGCCAAACCATTCGAGCAAGTGCCGAAAATGCTGAGGACTGAGCCGACCTGAGTTGGCCGTGTCGAGTTTCTTCAGGGACGCGTACACGCTCTTCCACTTTTGCTTGAGGATCGCCCGCACGTCGTCGGGAATCTACCCACCCTTGGTCAGCGCCACGGACCCGTCGTAGACGGTCGCTGTGTACCTGGGACTTTCGAGGGCTGAGCGCGGGCAAGTTCTGGACTTGCTTGGAATCCATCTTGAGCAGGGCAAACTCGGACAGCGTGCTCTTGCCTTGGACGTGGTGCTTTAGAAACGCGTGGTATTGCATGCGACCGCTGTTGTCGGAGTCGTATTTTTTGCATATTCGCAGCACTTCCTCGAACGTCATGGGGAGGCCGACGTTCTCCATCACTGCGCACCATCGGTCCGTGTGAATAGATTGACGACACCGGGAGAGATCGTACCCTTCTTGAAGGCCGCCTGCGATATCGTCCCTCGCTTTTCCCCGTCGAGCTGCTGGAACATTTTCAACACTGTTTTCCATCGCTTGGCCAGCACTGCCTTCATCTTGTCCTCGGCGTCGATGGCGCCTCCGATTGCGACCTTGCCCTCCTCCACGTGGTGGTTTATCACTTGTGTGATCAGCTGCGTGTCGTTGGTTTTGGTTTGGTTCCGCTTGGACGGCGCCGCCGCCTTGGGCGCGATCGATATCGCGCTATAGTACGAACAGTTGCTCGCGAGGTCGCTCATCCCGGTCATCTTGTCGGGATCTTTGCCCCCGTTGGCGTGCAGGAGCTGCAAATACGGCACCATCCCCGTGTTGTCAATGTCATAGTATGCCACGACCGAGTTGAATACGTCCATGTCGTCAAAAACGAGCCCAATCTTTTCAAACACTCGGCGCACCTCCGGGTACGGCAGCTGGCCCGACTTGGCCGTGTCCACGAGCGAAAAGTACTTGTACACTCGGCGCTGGGAAGACGACGACGTTGTCAAGTGGTGCCGCAGCATGGTGCGCGCCTCTTCCAGCGTTCGAATGACGCCCGTGCTTGTTTCGTTGTCTGGCAGGCGGGTGCTGTCCCCTCCAAGAGCCCCCTGTCCGACTCCACCGCTTCCATCGACGTTCTTCCCTTGGATTCCTGACTCGACGTCCAAAAGGAACTCGCGGTACCGCAACGTCTGCAGCGCCGGGTTTGTGTACCGTCCAAACACGTTGTCGAACTGCGCCGAGTCCAACTTGATGTGATGGTCATGCAGAATCGCGATCCATACGTCGCGCCCGACCATCCCTTTCAAGTCTGCGTCGGCAAGTAGCAGCGCCGCCTCAATCGACGACAGTTGCTGGCGAATGGCCGCTTTGATCGTGTCTTGGGGCTTCTCGAAGCGCAGCTGTGGCGGTGGGAGGTGCGGCGGGACGTAAACGTCGCTGCCATCGACACCGTTGTCGCTCTTGTCATCGGTGTCGTACCCAGCGGCATAGCTGCCCCCGTGCACGCCGCCAGCCATGTCGTAGTCGGTGAGGAAGCTCGAGTACCGAATGGAGCACGTGTGGTGGGTGTTCGCCTTGTCTTCGTAGAACAAGCACAGGAACGCAATCTGCTCGTCTCGGAGCTTCATGTGGTGCTTGATGATGCTGGTGAAGCAGTCGGCCGTGACACGGCCAATACGTTTGACGTCGGCCGCAATCACTTCGTTCTTGAGGGCCTTCCACACGGCCGGGTCCAACTCGCTCCGCTTCTCGCGGATGCTCATCTCCATGAGGAGGTACTCGGTCGGGCTCTGCTTGGGCGCGTTCATCGTGTTCTTGTTCGGGTGCGGCGCATACAGGCCCATGACCTTGGGTCGGTACGCCTTGACCAGGTCGCGATAGTTCATCAGGTCGTTGTGGTGCGATCCGCACGACCGAAAGATCGACAGGATGTTCTTGTTTGGGAGCTCCCCCATGTACATGCTCAGGATGTGGAGGAACTGCGCCCTTGGAATCCACCCAGTCTTGTGCAAGTCGGCGTCGACAAAGTCCAGGTACATTGCGTGCCACGTGGCGTCGTCGAGCCGGGAAAAGTGCTCCTTGATATTCGGGAGGTCGCTCTGGTGCACCTTTTCCCCCATCACGAGGGACGTTCGCTCCGCGAGGAGAAACTTGGTCTTGGCGGGTGAACCCGCCGGCATCGCCCCAGCCACGTCGGCGCCAAACTTGATGTCTTCGCCAAAGTGGTTGAAAAACTCGACGATGTTGACCTGGCCGTCGTGGTTGGTGTCGTAGCACGCCACGAGTTGTTGGAACTGGGCGTCCGTGAGGTCGATTTGGAATCGCACGAGCATCCGCTTGAGCTCGTCGGGAGACAGGAGCCCGTTCTTGTCGGCATCGACCTCTAAAAAGGCGGCGCGCAAGTGCCTGCGCCGACCATCAGCCACCTCACGAATTTTGAAAAGGACGTACGTCCATGTGGCAGCGATCTCGTCGTCGACGAGCTTTCGCACTTGGCCCCGAAGGAAGTTTGTCTGCTCTTTCTCGTCGACGGCAGCTACGCTAAAGTCGTGCGCCGTGTGTTGGAGGATCGAATTCCCGACACGTTCGGCGTTGTAGTTGGAGAACGATGCGCCAAACTGCGCCAGGAACTCGGCATAGTTGACGATGCCGTCACCGTTTGCGTCGTAGCGAAGCATGAGGCTCCCCAACGACTCCATCGTGATCGGGATGTTAAATTTGCGCAGGACTTTCAAAAACGTGTCGGCCGGCAACACCCCGCTCTACGCACGCACGACCCCGTTGAACGAATCGGTCGAGACTCGACAGATCAACAAGGGCACGCACCTTGTCCTTGTCCAGCGCGCGCAACGTGTCCCGGAATGTCGCCCACGAGTCCCGCAGTCGCAGCTTGAGCAGCTCGTTCATTTCCTGCACCACGCCATGCTGAAAAGTCTGGAGATGCTTGACGTGCTCGGTGAGCCGAGTCTTCTTGATGACGTGGCGCTTGCCAGACTCCTTCGATCGCAGCATGAGCGCAAAGTTGTCGACAAAGTCTTGGTACGGCACGTTCGTGTCGTTGTTTTCTTCGTACTCGCACAGCAAGCTCTTGGCTTCGTCCGTCGTGAGATGGATGCCGTAGCCTTCAAACACTTGAACGATTTCGCCGACGCCGCTGACTGCCGTCGAGCCAAAGTGGATGTGGCTCTGTAGGTTGCGCACGGCGTGGGTGTCGCCGTCCCATTTGAGTTTGCTCGGCCGCGACGGAGGCTCGTCCACGGGCGGCGACGGCTTGGATAAACTTAGCGACGCCGACACTTTGATCGGGGACACGGATGGCGCTTTCGCGTTCCCCATGCGAGCCTTCCGTGGGGACGGGGCCTTTTGCGGCCGAGGCGTCAACGACGGCGCAAAGTTGGCGGCCTGCATCGAGCGGGGCGAACGGCGTCGATGCCAACTACGAAGTGGGGGTTGTCGCCTATAAATACCCGAACGCTCCATCTCTCGATGAAACGAACACGTGCGGAAGTTGGTATTCTTGACCCTGTGCCCCCATCTTGGATGAATTCGCCCCTGTCAACTCGACAACTTGATGAACGAAGGGGTCCGGCGTGCACGATTCAGGCACATGCCCTTGCGCGCTAACGAGACAAGACACAGCGCCATGCCACGAGCAAAGGCGACGTTTCCCTGCGGTCGAACAAGGCGATATTCTAGTCGGATTGGTACAACGTGCGAATGCTACATCCTTCCTGAACGAGCGCATGTAGCTCGTCGACTTGAGATCCACACAAAAGCAGCCGTGCTGGAGTCCATAGGAGGCGCAGACAGCATGACGAAATGAATGGGTTGACGTTTTAACTCGTCAGAAGGCTCCGTGGCGCCTCCATGAGCAGACGTGTGGACGAAGGGGCGTTTACTCGACCAAGCGCTCAAACACCGGCCGGGCGTGCTGGTTCCAGTTCTCTGGCCAGTGCTACACCTCACGTCCCGTCAAAAAGCACGCCATCGCACAAGCCGATCGATCTCACCTCGACGCTTTTCAGCGCGTTCTTGAGCTTTCGTAGCATTCCATTCTGTGGCCATGGAGATGGTGAGGTTCATGCAGGTGGACATCCATCCATCTCTACCTTTGGAAAGTCCTTGAGCAGTACGTGCAGTTGGTCGCACAACTCGACGCTGTCTTGAAACACCATGCCGTTTCTACAGAGAATACATGTGCGGCTGTGGCCTCTGGACCAGGAGGTTGCGTACATCTCGTGGCGGACTAGTTCGTCGAGGCAGTTGAAGTTAACCGCGCACACAGGGACCTGGCAGCCAAACATGTCGAGCACTTTCATGGGAAGGTCCAGCCCCGACGTCGACGTGTGGAGGCAAATGCCGAGATCGGCGCTCCCCAACATCACCGGATAGTCCGTTGCTTCGAGCCATCTGCAGGATGGTCAGAAAATGGACTAGAGAGATGCTGTTTGTACAAGGTAGCAATGCGCACGCGCACAAGGTGCATCTCGGCGATCTTGCGCAAGTACATGTCTTTCTGCGGCCCTTTTCCCGTCACCACGACCAACACATCGGGATACGACGTGTCGTCGGCAATTCGCGCGTCGAGCTGGACGAGTGCTTGGAAGAGGAGCCCAAAATCTTCGTCTTCCGTCCAACTCGTCGAACTACCAGTCCATGACGACCCTTCGTCAAAAGCAGCAAGCCTGTGCCGCATACCTGATGAGCACAGCAGGACGATCGAAGCGCTCTGTGACGACCCTACAGACCATGTCATCAACGCGGTCGAGAACAGCCTCCCGTCGGTGGTGAAGATGATCGTACGAGTTGCGTTTGGTGGTCAAGAGGGTCCCATTTCCGACGTCTTTCTTGGCCGGTGCGTTGGCAATCGATGTCCACTTCGACACGAATGAGAGCGAGTGACGCGCCTAGGAATGGAGACGTACAGGCTGTGGCAGCTGCCCCCCTAGACGAGTAAACAAGTCGTGCGTTTCGGCGACGGTGGCAGGTTTGAAGAATTCGGGCGGCTTGTCATACAGCACCGTTGCTTCGATGCGCCAGTGCTCATGGAGCCACGTTTGCATGGCCTTGGTCACGCAAAAGTTGGCGTCGGCCACTTGCCCGAACATTCGTTCAAACCTTGTGGCAATCTACATCGGGGCCGTGACACGCCCCCTCTACTACATCTAGAGTACCTTGACAAAAGCATGCGTCTCGCCGATGCTCAGCGCCAGCACGGTGTAGCCGAAGTTGTGCCAGTCAATGACGAACTTTGCGCGCTTGAGCTTGCATGTGAGCCATGCCACGAAGAGGGTGGGAATCCTACAGGCAGTCAGGTCATGCCGTGGCATGCTCGCTTGCGTACGTGGGCGGGTTCTGCACCATGACGACGTCGATGGAGCCGACGCTGAATAGGAGAATCCAGAAGAGCTGGCACAGCTAGAGCGAGCGAGACAATGGTGTGAGAAGATGGCAGCAGCCCGCGATCCAGTTATCGATGTACGTGTACCTGAATGAGCACTTTGAACGGTCCGGACAGCACGAACAACGACCGAAACACTTTGACCGGCGCAAACGTGCGGACGTGAATGTTGGGCTGCGCAAGCACTTGCGGCACACACCGCTCGCCTTCGTATCCCAGGAGGGTCACGTTGGTGTTGGGTAGCTTGGACAATGACACTGCGTGGTATTGCATGCGCGGACTGCGACCCACATCTCCCAGCACCAGCACAACCACATGCCGCGGCGGCAAGGACGGCCCCGTGCGCGACATCACTTTTCCGGATATGACGACCATCGCATCCGAAGAAGTTGACGAAACCAAGCCCGAACTGGTCCGGCTGCCACGTCACGTGGCAACAATCTGAAGGTCAGGTGCATCATGCGGTGTCGCTGTGGGTGCTCGGACGGCGCTCCAGATTTGAAGGTTGCCGAAGCACGCTGCTTGACATGCATAGCACCTTGTGTGGAATGCCACGACGGCAGAGCTCGAAGCGGCGACTTGTCCCAGGAGGAGGGAGCTATGAACAAGTCTTGTTCTCGCTTACAGCGACTAGACATTCACTTGAAAGGTCAGCGGCCAGGAAGGTCGCAGGCACTCCAATCAGCACTGGTGTGCGTGGAGGATCGCGATTCCTCTAGAAACCGACTGGCGTTTTCGACACCCCACAGTCGCGCCCCTTCAAGCGGATGGCGTCGTCGACATCGTCGCACCGGCGGCAGATGTCGTTCAATTTGTACAACGCGACCATCATGGATTTACACATTGCGGCCACTAGCATTCAGACGGCGTGGCGGCGGTGGTCGGCCACCGCCAAGCGTCGACTAAAGACATCGGGCAAGGCGTCGGCAGAGTCGCTCGGCGGACTACTCGTCAGCATGACGACTGAGCTTGCATCGCTGCGGACATTGACAGGAGAGCTTGAAGCGAAGAATCGACGGCTCTTTCTGGAGCTCGAGGCGCTGCATCATGAAAAGCTCGACCTTCGTGCCCGCAGTGTGAGCGAAGAGAAGCGCCTCAACGACGAAATCGCATCCCTTCGTGCCATCATCCACGCCCATCTCGATCCTGCTGTGGCACCGCAGCTGAAAGCGCCTATCAGTACAACAGCCAACGTGTCTGAGTGCCGGACGACGGACGACACGGAAGACGATCATGTCGACAGAAAATACTGGCGGCAAGCGGCACTTGCGGCTCAAACAGAGGCGACGGACGCCAAGACAAGGGCCCGGGACGCTGAAGCCAAACTCAACGAGCTCCATGCCATCCATTCGATGCAAGTGGACGAGTGCAAGGGGCTGCAAGCCAAGCTCGTTCTAGCACGGTAGAGCTGCCCCCACGAAAACGTCGGATGTGACGTCGATTAGACTAGCGGCAGTCGAGTCAGACCAACAGCTGACGAAGCTACAAGATCAATACGAACGAGTGTGCGCACGCGCCGACGATCTACAAGAGCAGGTGCGGCGGAGTCAAGTGGAGGCGCAGTCGCAGTACACCCACTGGGTGAAAAGCCAAACCGACCTCCACACCGTGCAAGCTGAAAGGGACGAGCTTTTCCACGACGCAGCGCTCCTTCGTGTCGACAATGAAGAACTGCGTCAGGACAACGCAAAGCTCCATGCTGCACAAGACGAAGTAGCGGCGTTGAAGCGGTCGATCAACGGGTTGAAAGGTTCGCGGAGAGTTGTTGTCTGTGGAAGGTGCCAACAATCGTAGGCGCGGTGACGGCCAAGACGGCGGAAGCAAAAGCTTTCCAGGCGTACGGTGCCAGTGCGCGCGAACACCTTCACGCTCAAGGTCATCGACTATGCGGCCATTGCTCCTTTCGATCGTGACGACGATGGTGTGCATACAGGGATGCAGCTACAGCACCTCACCCAGTTTCAGACCGCGTTTCGATCGGTCGGCGCTGTCGCCATGACATCGCTGCGCGGGCTGAAGCATGCGGCATTGGATGCCAAAGACATCCTGGTCACATGGGTTCGTCCATGCGACCATTCCAGTCGACAACGTCACGTCTTCTAGCAATCCGAAATGGCGTCGACGGTCGCGCTGCTCCAGAACAAGCTTTCAACCGCATGCCAGTTTGTCCAAATGGCGCACATCGAGCACAAGTTGCTGCGGCACGCTCTGGTCACCACGACCGCATCGTCGGCGCACTTACACGACCAAGTGTGGAAAGTTCACCGCAACGCGTGGTTTGTGTGCCAAGTCCTTTCCGTGGACGACCCGTCGGCGGTGGGCGATCGCAACAATCTCGATCCCTACCTAGCCCGACAACGAATCGCGGCGAATTTTGAAACAGGTTCCACGGCATCTTCCATCGCCCATCGGCCTTGTCTCTGACATTTGCCACGTACGCAGGCGACGTCCTCTACACCAGCCCCGATGCACCGTCACTCAAGGTCCAGTTCGACCAGCTCTATTCGAACCGCGGCAGGGGATGGTGCAGCTCGCAGAGCATCGGCCCGGCCGTTCAGAGCGTCCTGGCAGGCAAAAACGCGTGCGTCGTCGCCTTTGAAGGTGTTAAGTGAATATCATTATTACCTTGCGCACTTACCTCTTGCTCGACAGGGCAACCGAGCATTGAGACCGACATGAATTTCGCGTCAGCCACCACAGCCGCTGTCCTCCATGAACTCTTTCGGCAATGCACAGACCTCGTCGGGTTTGCCACGATTCAGTGCTCGTTGAGTTACCTCGGCATCTACAGCGAGCACGTGTACGACCTCCTCGCAATTGTCGACGACTCGGCGGCGACCAGCCATGCTGTCCACGGCGGCTTCACTGACGCGTGCTGCGCGCCAACGGCGACCTCCAACAATCACCAGCCCATGGTCGTGCTCGACGTTCGAAACGACCGAGACGCCCTCATTGCAGTCGAAGAAGGGCAGCGCAACCTCGACCGCCTCTTGCGCCGGTTTCCAACGATGGAGCACCTGACGCATCTTCTCCTGACCGTATGTGTGACGGTGGACCCCGCGTTCAGCTCGGACGGGACGTCCCAACCGATCAAGTCCAAACTCCAGGTTGATGGCGGGTCAGATTGACACGTTTGACAGTGCCGAGTAGATTGTCGAGCTCGCATCGGGCGATGGCGGCCTCGAGTGCACGTGGCAAGACACCGAGCGCATCCGAGCGACGATCAGCGCCGAGAACAGCTTGAATGCGCTCACGACGTGCCTCGGCGACATTCGTTCGCCAAACACAGATCCGCGCGGGGACTCGGTCGCGATGCGGTACCATGCGTCCAAGCTCACGCTATTGCTGCAGGACTGCCTCCATGACGAGGTGGGTTGAATCGACCACGCGCCGACCTGTCGACTCCTGTCTTTCTGTCCATGGCCAGGCGAAGCTCCTCGTGCTGTGCACATTCACCACAACCGGTGACAACGAGCCGTGGCGGGCCCGGCGGGCGATGCAAATCCTCCATCAATTTCGAGACGCTGTCGCGCGGGACAAAAACGATGCGAGTCACGATCACGACGCCGAAGTAGCACCAGTTCTGCCGTACGGCACTGTGACATGGTACCGCGGAGTTGCCGCCTCACACGATGGAATCGGGCCATCGTGGGAACGCGAGCTGGCAGCGATCAAACACCGCAATGCACAAATGGCTCACTCGATGAACGTTGGCAGACGCGATGGGGATACGCCGCTGCCGCCACCAAGCCCACCAGGCCCCGGCAACAACAACCAGTCAACGAAAGCCCATCACTCGACGTCCCCACCGCGTTCGCTAGAAATAGCCCCCTCTCGAAAGCTCTTGAAGCCATCCATCTCCGCGTCGAGGCGATCCCTGAAAGCTTCGTTGCAGCACATGACGTCGTCGTCGTTGCCACTGGCGTCGACGCTGCTGTCCGAGCCTGGCCATCACCACTCGTTGCCCCCCTACCCTTTGACCAAGCGCCTTCCTTTTCGCTGACTTGCCAAGAACGTCAGGATGTTGACTTGATCCAAGCAGCGTGTCCGTTTGCGATCGATCGATGATGGATGGCGCTGCATGGCGAGCTAATGGGCAAGCATCTCGTTGAGTTTACAGTCTACAGCATCTTACGATGCCCGCCACGTGTTCTTGGTACCGCCCCATCGCGCGTGCAGCCCCGATTCCTTGCACATGCTCACGTTAGTTCGTTTTGCTTGTCGATCAAACGAAATTGATAGCAGAGATACCTGCGCTTGGCTGCGGACGAGCTCCTTTTGCTCCTTGAGTTTTTCCTTTCGGCGTCGACTCTCGCGCTGCTTCTTGGTCAAACCGGACGGATGCGCCGCCGCCGCCGCCTCCTGCGCGCTCAACACAGGTTTTTTCTTGTACACTTTTGCCGATACGACTTCCCACTCGTTGTCCTGCGTGTTTTCTTCGTCCACGTCGCTCGAGCTGCCTTCATTGCTTCCTCCTTCGCCGTCCTGGTCGCCAGTTCCTCCGTTCGACTGGTTCGTCACACGAATGTACTGAATCGGAACCTTCGATTCAACTTCGCCATCGTCGTACGTGATGATGTACAAGTTGCCTCGTTGCACCTACGATCAGCACATTTGCGCATGGCATCATCGTCATTCCAGGGGGCACCTTTGTGACCGTCCCAGGAAACCATTCTGACTGCTGCTTGAACCTTGCCAACACTCGCTGGCCCTCGTGGAGCTGTAGCACTGGCGCAGTAGGACGAAGTTTGCGACTGCCTCCAAGCAATGCGGTCCCGAAATGCTTTTGCGACAGGACTTGCGACGCCGATAGTCCATCGTCGTCCGAATCGGACTCGTCGAAGTAGTCGGCAATCGTAGGCGGCGCGGCATCGTTGGGTTTGTCTTCTTCGTCACCACTACAATGATTCCACGCACGGCATGTTTAGATCGCACTTCCAGACAACGCACACAGATAAGTGACGAACGTACTTGCTACTCTCGTCCTTGCCTTGGCTGTTGTTTTCGTTTGCGGTCGCGCTAGATGATCGTCCATTGGCGCCCATTTGAGCACATGCGATGTGGATCTTACCTTGTGTCTTGTCCCGTCTTCTTCTTCTTGCTACGTCATCGTGCTAGACTCCAGCCTTTCTTGTGAAATCGTCGTACCTCTTTTTCTTGGGCTTTCGCTTCGAGGTGGGAGCATCCCCGTTGGCCGAAGATGGCTTGGACGAGACGTAAGCCCATCCGCCCAGAAGCACCAAGAGCACAGTCGCGATCCACTGCCACACATTCATCGTCTCGTCCGTCCTTCTTTCGTCGCGGCGGATTCCACACAGCCTCAAATGGTCCGATCAAATGTTGGCAAGAATTAGATTTCGAGCGATATAAAAAAAAGTTCACCAAACAACTGTATTCGATGTCAAAGTTAGTGTTTATGCAAAAGCGCTTGGATAAATCGTATTTTTAATCTATTTCGAACGACGTTGAAGTTCATATTTCGACGGCTATATTGAGTCGCCCAGGACTGCGCCACGTCTCGCCCCGAGGCAAGTGGCTTTTGAGCTGCCAGACTGATCGATCTCTATTCGTCATCCACTGGGAGAGCGCGGTCCATGGCCTGCCGCTATCGCGGGAAGGCCTAGTCTGCTTTATTCCTCCGTTGATCAAGCGCTATCATGACAGAAACATGACAATTCCACCAACAGCAACAACTGAAACTCGTCGCGGCAATTGTAACGAAGTCGCGGGTGAAATTGACTTGGCTTGTCACCTTAAGCTGTGGAGATTATCGTACGAAGTATACAATCCGGTGAGAACATCGTTAGCGAAACGTTTGAAAGAACCGTTAGAGCAGGTCGTCACGACAATATGTGCTCTATAGAACTTCCTCCGTTTTTCCCGCGCATGTCTTGATTGGCTCAAGGACTCCACCTTTCTTGAAGGCGTGTGAGGATGCTCTATCTGGTTCAGGAAAGGATCAACGGCGACTTTCATAGCGATCAGTGTTGATTTTGAGACCGCCAAGCTCACCAGACCTCACACGTGGGTTAGAACAAGGTGCGGGGCCAGAAGGATTCGACAAGGCGGAACAATCGGTGGCTGTGGAGAGCTCGGTCGTCTTATGGGAGCAAAACAACCCAAGAGTTAAAAAGGCGGTCAAGACTCGACAGTGTCGCTTCGTACAATCCATTCTTTGGGTAAATCTGACGTCGACAACATCAATTCGATCCGTGAAAGTCTGAAGATCAAGCTCCAAGCAGTGCGACGCGTCAAATAGTGGAACGAACGATCATCCAATCGTTGCTATTTGTCAATCGACCACTTTTCCAAAAAATGTACTCCTCCGTTCCGAACCGATAAACGGTGACCGGCGCTGCGAATCGACGAAGTAACGCAACAAAGCGTTACGAGAAGTCCAGACTGCGTTGCAACAAGCTTCTGTTCGTTGCGACAAGCTTCTGTTTTGCAACATCCTGACATACACCGTCCATTCATGGTGACGACGGGCACCTCTGGCTACTGTTTTGGAGCATTGCTTTATCAAATGGATGATGATGGCAACGATCGACCTGTTTCATTCCTGTCGGAGATGTTTTCCGACACTGAAAGGACTTTTCATCACACGAGAAAGAGCTCTATGCCATTGAGTTTGCACTACCAAACATGGTCCTGGGGTCGTTTGTGGTTGAGAC